GAGAGAGACAGAGACACGGTTCAGCAGCGGCCCGCAGAGGCGTGTCCAATCCTCCCTGTAGACAAAGTGGCGATCGCGACCACAAAGGAAGGAAGGAGCGGGTATCGCGGCGGCCAGGGCGGCCAGGGCGGGCGCGTTGCGGCAAGCTGCCGAGCAATCCAGAAGCGTCGTCTCGTCGCTCTGTCTCTCTCGCACTCATGGGGCTCTCCGTAAGGGTGCGAGAGAGACAGAGCGACAAACCGCTCTTCTGAATCGCTCGGCTGCCGGCTTACGGCACTTCCCTTCCCTAGGAAGGGGGAAATGCACGCCCAAACGCCGAACGGTCACATCCATAGCGCCAGGACCACGCTTTAGGCACGTACAGTCCGGTGCAAAAAAGAACCGCAAATTGCTGGCGAGGCGTGAACCGGACGGGGCAGGACGGGGCGTCCGAGGCTCATGCCGAGGAGCGCTGTCTCTCTCGCACGCTTACGGGGACGCGCCATGAGAGCGAGGGAGACAGAGCGACGAAAGCGGCGTTCGCGCGGCAATAACAGGCGATCCAAATTGCAAATCAAATGTCGCGACGAGGCGACCATCGGCCCGCTGAACGGGCCTGGCAGTCACCACTGACACACTGGCGCGTCTCGGCTATCTTCCTCCTCCTTCTTCTTCTCTCGTTGTCGCGCTTCGCTTGGCTCCGCTGCAGCCAGCCAAACGGCGGCTAAAAGCAGGGCCGTCGCGGAGGGTCCCCGTCGACGGCGTCCTGCAGACTCGTTCCGAGAGTCCTTTTCGTCGCTCCGTCTCTCTTGCACCTGTAGGGAAGGCCCCGCGAGGAGAGCGACAGAGCGACGAGACCGGCTCCAGTCTGCTGCAGTAGACTGATTCCGAGAGTCGTTTTCGTCGCTCTGTCTCTCTCGCACTCACGGGGCGTCCCGTATAGGTGCGAGAGAGACAGAGCGACGAAGACGACTCTCGGAATCAGTCAGCAGGCTGATGCGCGTCCCCTCGTCTCTCTCACTCATGGGGCGTCCCGTAGGGATGCGAGGAAGACAGGACGACGAAGCAGGACTGTTCAGCCTGCTGGCCAGCAGACTGACCCAGAGCGTTCATCGCCGCCCTCGCACTCAAGGCGTCCCCTATGTGCGAGAGAGACAGAGCGACGAAAACGACTCTCGGAATCAGTCTGCAGCAACAAGCGGCCGGCATGGCAAGGCGGCTAAGCACAGGCAAGCAGGGCGCAGCGACGCGGGAACTGCGGCCACGCCGCCGTCGCGCCACACGCCAGTGTGGGTGCAGCCTGGCGGGCTGGCCGCGGGTCTGGCGGCCTGGGAACACGGAACCACGCGGCTCCACGTCGGGCAGGGCGCAAGGCACCTTGAGCCGCGCCTTGCCGCCTTGCCGCCCCGCCGTCCTGCGCAACGGCCTGCGTCGAGTGGACGGCGGCACGGCGGCACGGCGTCGGGAGGTCGCGGCCCCGCTGCAGCGCGCTGGCATGCAACATGCGAGAGCAACACCCGCCGAAACGCACACCCACACTCACACGCGGGAAACGAAAACACAAAACCTGCGTCGCTGCTGCGCGAGATCGTCGCTCTGGCCCTCTCGCACCTACGCCCCACGAGTGCGAGGAAGAGGGCGACGAAAACGACCCTCAGTGCCCAGTGGAAGTCGGTCCGGGCCGGCGCCGCGCCGCCCCCGCCGCGCCACAACACTGGCGCCACGCCGCGACGCACTGCGACATGGGCGGCGGGGCGATGGCGATGGGCGGTGTGCATAGGGAAACCAACCTCAATGACGGCGGTGCGGCTCCTGCTGGTGGTCCTGGTGATCCTGGTCCTGGAGCAGCGGGCGCAGCAGTCGGTCGGCGGCAGGCCGGCCCCCGAGTCCGGGCCGGGCCGAGACCGCCATAGCCACTCGGACAATGCACTCACTCGGCGGGTTAATGGTCACCATGCGAGGCTGGCACAGCACACTGTTATCCCTTCTCACACACCAAGCACGACATATTTACGTGGCTAGCTCCAGAAACTCCAACTCGGCACGGCTCGCGATTTCCACCACGGCCGTCGCAAGCCGGCGTGGTCTCTTCGTCACTCACAGACAACACACGCACACACACTCGCCCACGCGGCGCTGTCACGCTGCGAGACGTTCACTGGAGCACGCGTGACAGGACACGAACACGCGAGGAGGCGCGCGAGGAGTTGGTGCTCCGAAAGCACGTAGTGGAGAACGTCGAGAGTCCCTTCGCTGACGCGGCGGGGAAGGCGCAAGGCGCGTCCGTGCACTTCGACCGGCTCTCTCCGCGGGACTAGCGGCGACTGCCTGCCCGCCTGCCCGCGCGCCGCGAGGACTCAGGACTCCCTCGCGGCGCGGTGCGGTGCGCGGTGGGAGGGGGCCGCACCGCCCCTCTCCACGCCGCCCCGCTCTCCTCTCTCTTTCCCTCTCTCTCCCTCTCTCTGCCGACCCCTCCTTAGCCGCCCCATGGCCGCCCTGTGGCTACCGTTTGTTTTGCTACGCGGTCCGTCTGCGGTTGTCCTCCGGGCAAGGGGGGTGGGGCGGCGGGGCGGGGCCGGGCGGGCCACTTGACAGTGCTCGCCCCTTCGAATGTGAATAGTAGTCGCCAAACCTGGACTTAGTGGCCACCCACGCAGTAAATTGAAATGGCAGCATCCGTAGAGCTCCGTGAGCCTCGAACCGCAGAAATCGACAGGGAAATGAATCCATGGTGGTTTCGCAAAGAAACGACACTGACCCCCCCTCCCCCTAAAAAAAAATCAGGTGTCTAAAGTTGGTCAAATAGGGCATTTCCGCAACTCTTGAAACGGAAGGAAGCAGAACACAAGTAAGTGCACAACTTCCGTCCCCTCGCCTGAAGTGAGGGTCCAGAAATGGATTCGTCTCAACAAGAGGAGAAAAACATGTCATTACATGTCATAGGCTAGGATGCGAAATAAAGAAGTATCCGAGATTTAACGTAGTGCACACAAAATCTATGTGTGTACTCAGTACACACTTCTAGGTGCGTGCTTACAAGCATGCACTTCTAGGTGTGTACTTGAATGAGTACACACTTTTAAGTGTGTACTCAGTGAGTACACACATAGAAGTGCATGCGTTTTCCCTATGCCGCGCATGCACCTCGCACCATGCACTTCTATGTGTGTACTCACTGAGTACACACTTTTAAGTGTGTACTCATTCAAGTACACACTTCTAGGTGCGTGCTTAGGCAAGTACACACCTAGAAGTGCATGCTTGTAAGCACGCACCTAGAAGTGTGTACTGAGTACACACATAGATTTTGTGTGTGTATTTGGTACCTCGGGATACGAATCGTCGGTGCCCCTTTTCTGGAAAGAAATGGATTCTTGTCAGTAGTCAAATGCGGCTGGGAGCCCACGGCCCACGCACTGCCACTGTCCCCTAAAGGGGAAGGGGGCGACGTCCTCCAGCAGCCAGCAGCCCACCAACAGAGGTCGGACTTTTGAGCGATTTCGGCTGGCTGCAACGGCTGGGCGACAGCCGTTGCCTTGGGATTCGGCTGGCCCGGGCCGGCCCAGCCAGCCAAAGTCGGCTGGCTGGGACCCAGCCGAGTTCGGCTGGGCAGCCACGGGGCGGCTGTCGCGGCCGGAGACAGCACTGGAAGGTGAGAGGGGAAGGGAGGGTCGAGCGTCGCCGGCCTAGCAGACGAAACGAGCCAGAGCCGGCACCGTCGCTGAGGCGACCCGGCGACGCACTGCGACGCGCTCTCTGTCGCACACGTTGGCAGCCGGAGTCGGCTGAGGCCCAGCCTTTGCAGCCAGCCGACGTAGCGCAAAAGTCCGACCTCTGCCCACCAACAACCAACAAAAGCGAACTGAACCAAACACACTCACCCCAATATGCCAGTTATTATTACGAGTTCAGACCTCGTTTTGCCGGCGACCCGCAGCATTATGACAAGCGAAGAAAACTTGGGAGCACTTTCAAACAAGGGAATCTTGAAACACGTGCAGATGTTGACGACGAGGACGGAAGAGAACGCCGCAGATCGCAGATCAAGTTCGGCCGCGCTGAAGCAGAGAGGTGGAGTGGGGCAAGGTGGAGTAGGAGAGGTGGCGGCGCTCCCTACCCAAGCGCACGCCAGGGGGCGCGGCGGGTTGCCGCCCCGCCAGGCTGAACGGCCGGCCGGCGGCCGGCGTCTTATGGGTGGCGGACGGTTTATCGCTTGCAATTCACTCCCCGTTCACTTAGAATAAAAAGTGAATAGTGCTAGTTGTAGCTTAGGACCTCATCTTTCATTTGATACATGTCTCAAGTCGATCCGATGAATATACAAAGAACGGGAGTTATAAATAGAGCCCCCGCGGCTGCCCGGGTAGCGCTCCGCCACTTTCCGAGGCCCGTGGGGCTTTTCCTATTCATTTTAGAGGGTGGGTGTACGCGAGCCAATTAAAGCCGAAAGTCTAAGCTTTCGATTGGTACCACATTCATTGCGATATGACAAATAGGAAAGGAACCGCAAGAAAAACTGTGAACGAAAACGGCACCAAGGATCTGCTACACCTGTCTGCTATTCCTAGTGTCATTGCTGACACTGGACACCCCCCCATGTATTCATCCCTAGGTCAGGGGTCGAGATTTATGCAAGGGCAGTGGCTATTTTGGCGGAATAAAGCCCTTCCTGGGTTAGTAGAGGTTAAGGAGGATTTACAACCTGAAAGCTGACATCAAAATGCCGAACAGATGTGTTGTCTTCAACTGCAGAGTGGCTATGACAGTGGTAGACAGTACAGAAAAACAAGAAGGAAAGACATCAAAGAATTGATATCACATGGGAGGGACTCGTTCTTTACAAAGCTAGATTGATGTGTCAGTCGCTGATCGTTACATGAATTGTCCTCTGACGATTTGTAATTTTGCCTTTTAACGAACGCTTCCGGTTGGTTCTCCTCTCAGGCAGGGAACATCGATGCATCGCGATATCTCGAGATATCGATTTTCCCCTCCCCCTCCTGCAGATAAAACCATGACGTATTATTTGCAGTGCACGCCGCTCGCAAGCAGAAAATGTTTGGTTGATGTCATGTTGAATTTATGGTGAGAAGGCTATTTTCTTACTTCAAACTGTTAAATCTCTTATTTTGAATTCCACTTGGGTAAACACGTCTACAGCATGACTTCCGCTTTCAACGATGATTTCGTTCGTCAAGTTGAGCAGATGAGCAGGTTCCAGGTAAAAGTGCGAAGTCAGCCTGAACAAAAATGTGTTGATTTGCATGGACATGTGGAAATTGGCGTTAGAAAGAAAGTTTCTTGAGAATCCGTCCTTGGTTGCCGTCGTATGAACATGACACAGCGACAGTGGCCTGTAAAGTGCCTTCAAGGCAGTGCATTACCCTTTGTTCTCTTGTTTTCAGGAGCAAACCCACAAGTTAACCAGCAAGTGTTGGGATCTATGCGTTGAAAAGCCTGAGACACGACTAGGGAGCCGCTCTGAGACGTGTCTGAAAAACTGCGTCGAGAGATTCATCGATATCAACAACTTCATCACCAACCGGTTTCAAACGTCTCTCATGGACAGACAAGCTGGAGACACTTCTTTTGATTAGTGAATCGCACATAGTGCGGTTGTCATGTTAATAGTCATCACCTGTAGTTACTGAGGAAAATAGGAAAATGTTCTCCAGATTCAAGGATTTTGTGAACCGTCATCGGAGGAAGTTCATTGTTACCGGTGTTGTTGTTGGAGGTACTTGGCTCGCCCTCCGTTACGCTCAGCGCAAGCTTAGAGAATATACTGAAAATGAAGCCAAGGAATTCATTGAAAGAAATCGACGGCAGCAGCACTTTAAGAGTACAGAACGTACTTGTGATCAAACAATTCTCTCTTTGTCACCTGCAATTCATGAAGCCATCATAAATTGTGTGAATACAGAGGAGCTAGTGACTGAGCTTCAAACAGCGACAACAGGAAAATATGGCATCTGGGAGAGATTAAAAGTGCGAGCTTTCACTAGAATAGCTGCATTAGTTTATGCAAATTCCATGCTTGTGCTTCTCTTGCGAATCCAACTCAACCTTGTTGGAGGTTTCCTTGTTAGAGATGCTAATGGTGAGGGTGTGTTGTCAACAGAGCTCCAGCATTTGTATCTCTCTCTATGCCACCACTTACGAGACACTGGTATTATTGATCTCTGTTCTCTCATTGAGCGACATGTTCAGCCCATTATGGAAAATATTTCATTAAAAAAGCAAATGTCACTTCGAGACACTGAAGAGCTGTTCTGGTCTATTCAAAACTCTGTTGAAAGTAACATGTATGAAAATCCAATTAAATCCATGGCAAAATTCTGCATTCCTTCCAAAGAAAATACTGATACTGGCTGTTTACAAGAACAGGAAGTCCAGCAACTGTTCAATATTATTTCTGAGACTTCTGATTTATTGGAATCTGATGAAGCTGCTTCATTGATGAGGTCTTGCATCAGCCAGAGCTTTGCCGGTGTCATAGACAAACTAGCCGACCAGTTTGCTCCTATAAACCATTCGGAGCCTGCTCCTGGCCCTTCCAGTGACAAAGTGGCAGATGCTTGGACGAGTGCAGTAAATGGATCCGCAAAAAGCTCGTTTGTCCATCCCAGCAATGTGACAATGCCTTTGGCAAAGCTTATCCCTATTGTAAACAAGATGACAGAACTTTCCCCCAGCAAAAAAGATTTGTGGATGTATCAGCTGGTGCGAAACGACCTTGTGAAAGTGTTTGGAGCTAATGTTTATGAAGCTTTTGGGCAACTGGAATAGGGTATGTTACACAGGCAGGATTCATTCAAGTACAATTATGTATGATAAACCTAGTTCTTAAGGGACAGCAAAGCATTTTCTTAGCCAGTACTATGTATTTTGTTAATATATTTCAAACTATGGATCAGTACTGTAGTCTTCTTTATCATAAGTTTTTGTACCTTCTTGAATTAGCATGTAACTGTTTGACTATGATTCAAATGCCAGATAAAATGTATGTTGGGCGGTGTTTCCCACAACTTCCTTGGATTAAAGATAAAGCTATACAAATGAAAGACTTGCCTTCGGATTTCAGTTTTATTTCTTGCATTTACAACTTTTAACATGGGGGGAGGAGAACAGAAAACCTGGTTGACAGTTGGCTCAACAATTGTTCATGGAGTTGACAATTTCTAAAACAAATCCATATCAGAAATACTACTGGTATATTGATAAACCAAGACAAACTGGTAAAAATATCGAAAGCAACAAGGACAACACAGAAATCAACACAAATCTGAAAACTAACTGGGTCATGCTCAATTAGCTATCTGGTGAGCAATATTCTTATCGTCTGAAGCTTAAATCACAAAGTTGTTAAAACATAACCCATTATTTGGGGATTGCTCAGAAACTGTATCAAATATACTTGCTGAGTGCAATTCTACAGAGAAAAAAATAATTCAACAGCAGTACTTGCAAGGCTAGATCTATAGTTTGGGACTGGAACATCACATTAAATGATACCAGAGAGACTACACCAGCACAAGAATAGGAAACTGGGTGAGAGAAAAATACTTAGCTTTCTTTCATTTCCAAAAAGAAAAATAATAATAAGAGGAGACTATTAGGTACTGTAATAAAATTCATTAAATATCACAACTTTACAAATTACACAAAACATGACATGTGTTGCAGGACTTTGTTATATCATTTTCCCCCAATACCATCAATGAGCAAAACTGCATGTTATTCCACCCAACATATACTACATAAGAGCATGATAGAAAACAAAAACTACATGGATTGAGTTGAAAGGTACTCATGCAACACTGATACCGTCAGCGACTACAGGAGATGCATCCCTTTTTAACACCACAGTAAAAGAGGGATGGTCAATGAGTTCTAATGTACTTTCAATCTAAAAAGAACTATTGTTCAATAAGCACAAGTGGAATATGTGAAAGTCATTCAAACCATAACCAGAAAAGGTACTCTTTACAAATAACCTTCACAACTTTTTTTTTTTAAGAAAAGAAATCAGTATGGTACATTTGAGAAGGAGCTATAAAAATAAGGTAAGCCTATAAGTAAATAAGAACCCTCTGCTGAATTCCTACAGAGTAATAAACAAATATAAAAGAATTTGACAGCTTGTATTGAATGACATTTTAGCCATACACCAGAGTGGGAATACCTGTTTCAAGAGCTGGATTGCTGGATTAGAAGAATCAAAAGCTACACATACTAACGGTACTTTGGCTAGCCAAAATAATGTTATGATCCAGTACATTAGAACATACGCATTTGTTTCCTTAAAGCACTCTGACACACAAGTGATGGCCACTGAACGCATAATTACAATCTTAACAGTCTATTCTAGTTCATATAGACATATACATATATGTATAATTTTCATATATATATTTATAAATATGTATTTGTATATATTTAAATATAGGTATGTATTAATAGGAATAAATTTTTATTCTATTAAATGAAAATGAAATTCCATTTTCTGCTCCATACAACTGATGAACACATTCAGCCCTCCAAGTCCTTTGGCAAGGTAGGTACACACAATAATTAAAATTATCATAAAAACTTTAAATATACATAATATCTACAGTTTGAAGTACTTTTAAAAGGGTTTACATTAAGGTTTGGTCACAAGAAATCAACAGCAGATTACATTTTCTGGCCCTAATTACAAAGTTTATTTCATTGTCAATGATTCTTTCGACGCTTAAAAAATAGGATAAATTTTGGTTGATTGGTGCAGTAAAGTATTTGTACAACGGGAATCTATCACGTACAATATTAAATAATGGAAGCCAAATTGTCCAATGGAAAACCTCCCTGTTATAACATGAGAAAAGAAAACACGATGAGAAAGCACTTCAGTTGACCGTGAGCAAGACTAAAACTGCTTTATACCAAGGAGACGAAATCAGTCTTAAGAAAAAACAAACTTACATACACCTATCTGCATACTAAGATTCCAATCAAAAGTATGGCCTAAGTCGCAATGAAAACTCATACATTACATATTTGGCTTGTACTACAAAGCTGATTGTTTCAACACCGTGTTTAGATGGAACAGCACAGCAAGCCCTGCAGACTTAATGTATCTGGTGGAGTAAGAAAAGGTACAACCAACCACTACACGGATTTGCACAGGTCAACACCTAGATCTTCTCCTTTCCTTTTCCTTTCTTAAAACCCAAACGTACAGTGAAAAGGGGAAAAAAAGCAAAATGGAGCAGATGGCAAGAAGAGCTCCAAGCATGTTTCCTCTCCAAAGCTCCATAGTCCTAGATGTTTATGGCTTGACAAAGAGGCTGCAATCTGCTATTCCACCACAATAGTGCCTTCATTTACTTTTTTTTTTCCTAATTTTGTAAAAAATATCTGAATGATTATTAACAGAATCTCACAATTGAGGTTCATAAAAGCAAGGACTTAACCTCCAGAGCAAAGGAAAACCAAACAACAAGGAGGCTAAGTATGAGATTCAATTTTAAAAAAGCCAACAGAATATTTTTTACAAGAGCACAATTTTTACTTGCGCCTTTCAACTTTAAGTAAACCAGAAAATGAAAAATGAAAATAACACATTACTAAAGACAACATTTTAAACAAGAAGCAGCTATCAAGCAAGATAATTTTCAAGAATAACAAACATTTTTTCATAACCAAAGCCAGAATGGATAAGAATAAAACAACATCACATAGGAAAAACAAAATACATAGAGGACTCCATAATGTCTTGCAGTTTAAGTATCACATCACATACAGTGTAATAATTAACATAAGATAAAGAAATAATAATAAAAAGAAATAACAAATTTCCTAGTGGTAGAAATAGTCAGCTGCCGATGCCAATTGTAAAATTTATATTTTAACTGCCAAACCGTATTTTACCTCTACTTGTGTACAAACATAAAGTTCAAAAGCCATTTCTAGGAAAAAAATCTGTCATGATCTAACTGTGTTGCAACATATTCAATTTGTGATGTCTAAACAAATTTGACAAATTTAGATACAATAAATACACTGTACATGTAAGAGGCCAGTACAAAATACAATGCACAGCCTTCTTAAAAACCCTCTGACAAATAAAACAAATATCACAGGCACCCACACAATAAACAAAAAAACATTCCAAGAATAAACACAAGTCCACCCCAGTAACCAACATAGCTTTCACAACAACAAAAAAACATTGAAGCACTGTAATGTGAGTGAGTCACTGTTAGATGAACCGGGGAGGACCAGTGTGGTGTGAGTAAGGGGGCGGGACTCCCTGAGGCGGACATCCCCCCAAGTACCTGTAGCGCTGGCGCTGGCTGTGGGCAGTGACGGGGGCAGGGCCCAGGGCAAGTGGATGCAGAGGGTGGCCATGGCCATGGCCATGACCATGGTGAACACCTTGTGGCATTTGCATTGCCATCTGTTGAGAGTGAGATGGGTGGCCAAGAGGACCAGTATGCATGTTACCATCCCCGAGATCTAGCTCCAGCTCAGTTTGTTCTTGTAGTTGCAGTTGTCCAAAGGATGCCGTCGCCATGGCAACGTCTGGCATGATGTCCGATAAGTGACCATCACTGCAAGAGCTACTACCAGCCTGCAAAAAAGGTGGAAATGTCAGAAACACTGCAGAGCTCAAGAGGAAGAGTAGAAAGAGATGCCTCCAACGTACCTCTCCTGGTATACGATACGAGTCACCCTCAGTAACAACTGCAGGAAGTTCTCCTCTGTGAGAGCGAGGTAGTGTTACACGCCTGACAGGGCATGTAGAACTACTGGCAGCATTACTATGTAAATTATGATCAGTTTCAGTTTCCATAGTCATATCTGTTTCTTCCTCAGTATTGGAGTAGCAAGCAGCATTCTGCAAATCATTAACAGTTAATTTATTGCTGCTCACAGAACATCATTCATATAAGAATTACAACTTCAGCTAATGAAACACATACCTCTAACAAATCTGCAACTGCATCAGGTAAATTGAATTCTCGAACTACCCTTAACCGTACTTGGCGGTTAATTTCGTGACGTGATGAAAGAGGTAAAGAAACAGCCCTTTGAACACTGACACTCTGTCGCAACTTCACTTCCCTTTTCAACATTGCTGACATGGTTGCAGGATCAGGCACTGAAACAACATAGTTGAGAGGTGAGATGCTATTCCGTACTTACGTTAAAGTGGAAAACTTTCCACAATATCAAACACAATAGCCAAAAGATTTGAAGTATTACCTGGAATTGCTGCTGCCAACACATCAACTGGGACATTGGCAGCTTGGGAACGAGGTTTGTCCTCCACCATGTATAATGTGTCAGGGATATCCCTTATGTAACGGTTTCTTCTCATGCGCGATACATCAACATCAGGCACTAAATGATCTTCAAGCAGAGACTGTGAACAAGTAAAATTCAATAATAAAATCTTAAAGTGAAACTTACCGCAATAGGAGCCCTCCTACTAGATACTATACCTTGCATTCTTCAAAATACGGCATGAAGAGGCGAGGCCTCACAAATAAACCACTATTTCTTGTGCCTCGAACCCACGCATCTAACCTAAGAACTGAAACACTGTGACGATCATCTCCAATCATATGGCTTGGAGGAGTGCTAACTAAACCTCTTCTAATTGCCTGTAAATAAAAGAAATTTACTTATTAGCACATTATTTAAGTGTCATTTTGAAAAAGAGAGGCATGAACTGTCTTTCTTACCTGACTCAGAACCTCACTATTGGGTGGAAGAACATGATCGACCCTCACTAAAGGTAACAATTCACAGAGGATTTCACGAAGCTCTACATCACTAAGATCCCTCTTCTTGACGCCTTTACGGGCTACCGAGTGAGCAGTGTGATTCAAAAGATTAGGCTCTGAAATTAAATGAAAGATTGAATGAGCAAGTAGTATTTTGTTATACTGAAAAGTGAAATGGATTGGAATATGTACCTCTATCTTCCATACGGCGGACTAACTCTTGTTCTCCCCACTTCAGCACAGCTTGCAAAACCTCCAACTCACTCGCTTGAAGAAAGTCACTTTGGAGAACTTGAATCAAGTGAAATTTGTCTAGTTGATGCAAAACTGGACTGGAGGCAACCTGTGAGAACTCTTCTCGCAGAAAATGAAGAGCTTGTCGGTGCACCTGAACATTGAAAATAAAACTCATTTTAAGACATTATCCGGAAGAGCAGCATAATGAAAGAAATACGAAGTGCATACCCAAGCAGAACCATGAGGTTGGCTACTCCACTTCAGGACTGCAGGTAAAGCATCCAACGTGAGCCACTCTAGAATCAGATCTTCACAGCCTTGAGTGACAATGTCAAGTTCCAGGAATCGACCCATCTGATACAGCTCCATGGCCTCCTCCAGAGCACTAGGTCTGGTTCGTCCAGTGTTAGTTAAAGCTTGTACCTCACCAAGGCTGCCAGAGCTTCCAGCACAACCACTGCCCCGCAGGATCAGTGACAGATCTACCGTATCAAGATATATGGCATGTAGCAACACACGAGCATATCTTTTGGGTATCACGAATTCATCAAGGACAATCCTAAAAATGAGAAAGGAAAAAGTTTAAAAAATTCCAACTTGCATTGTAAAAGCAAACATTGTGCCACAATCATCACTAAGCATACCTTGTGGGAATATGAAGGGCTCTTTCTGTGTGCTCTTCACCAGATCTTGTTCTTCTCTGTATGAGATTCCTAAAAAATGGCGACCGTGCAGAAAGCAATGCTTTATGACATGGTAGCTCTAATTTAGGACGGAAGCCATATTCAGAGCTTCCAGAATCTGGCCGTCGACAATCACCATCAGAAGTGAAAACTAAAGCGGCATCAGCATAATCTCCTGACTCTAATAGGTATCTAAGATCACGTTCAAGAGGGTTTAAGGTACCAAATTCGTTGCCAAGTCTTCGTAGTAATGCAATCCTGCAAGAAAAGTAACCAATAAAAACCATTGACCACCATAAGGCATTCAGAGAAAAAAACATCTTCTGCCCCACCTTTCAGGATTCCCCTCAAGGGGCCGCAAATCTCCAGTATAGAGGTAACGAAGAAGAGAGGAAAACATTTCCACATCGACCCCAGCTGTCCTTGGCTCAACCCTAATTCGAGCTCCATGTACTGGGTAACCAGCAAGAAGGTCCCGAAAATAGGGGCAACGAGCAGAGAGGATTGCTCGATGAACAGGGAAACAGATGCCATGGAAAACAAGATCCACATCCGTACAGTGCTTAAAGTCATAAAGTGTAGAGAGATCTTGTTTATAAGTGGCTGCAGGAGGTCTAGCCAACTCTGCCTGCACACACAAGTCCTTCAGAGCAGCCAATGCTTCATACTCTTCCAGGAGACCACCTAATTCCAAAGAGCCCCAATCACTGACAAGCTCCCGCAGAACACGTCCATGATCACAAGCTTTTGATGACCGCCTTTTCCTCATCCACTTTTTCCTTAGTGTTGCAAAACTTGTACCCTTCTTTTTCCGTTCCCTGGAAGAAAACACAAAAATCAATAACAGAGTGAAATTTTGTTACAGATTGTGCCCTAAATAAATGTGAGGAAGGCCTTACCTGACTAATAAACAAAGTTGATCATTGGTCCCAGATGACACAAGGCCTGGGCTCTGATTCGAAGACAAGCGGGCTGCTTGGGCTGTTGAGCCAACTGCAGAACCAGAAGCACCCTGACTCCCCAGGCTCCCTGGGCCACTCAGACCAGAGGCACTGGGGCCACCCAGCCCCCCGGCTGGGTTGGAGGCTGACGCACCCATCCTCTCACTCATACGGAACACCAGGAAGTAGAGCCATTTCAGCTAGAGACACAGAAAATACAACACAATCATAAAACTTGAATAAGACAAGGAAATTGTGGGAGCAGAAGGACTTCTAAAAACATAGAAGTAAACATTACAAAAAAGAAGAAATACCCCAAAATATTGTTATTGCTAGTGTGGACCAGAATATTTCTAAATAAAATCCCATACAGCCATGGAAAACACATGAAGAACATGAATTGAATTAGAGGTGAATTCATCTGATATTTGTATGGCCTTGAAGTGAAAATAAGACTGATGAAAATGGTTGAAGTAAAGTTTGGCACATTGTTTAATCAATAGCACAAGATTTATCATAAACAAAGATTTGGAGTGAGAAAGCAGACTGACTTTAGTAAAGCAACAAATTAACTTTTCTGACAGTGACTCAAGAACACATTCATTAATGGACACCCATTAACTCTGACAACAATGATGCCACACTTCCAATAAACTAACAGTGTGGAAAATAGTACAGTAGGAAACGGGACAGAAACTAAATAATACTATCGACGTAAACATTCCAATGTGCACTTGTCTCCTTATCTAGGCTAGGAGAGATGAAACAAGTAGCTCTTAACCTTCGACTTCTGACAGAAAACGAACTGGATCAAATGGTATCACCAAATGAGTTAGAAGAAAACTTTTCGGCAAGGGTCCATTCATGAACGCGAAAAGTGAAGTTGTTTGTACGAGAGTATTTGTGTCACTGGTACAGGCTTCAGTCCGATCCATTCAGTCAAAACGTCAATACGCGAGAAATTTCAGAACGGTTCTGAAGACACGGAAAGAACAGCGACCGAGCGAGAGACGCCAACACGAACTTACCGTTGAATAGTATGCTCATTTCTAAGGTCGGGCCGCAAATTAAAACATTGCAAAGGGATAAATATTGGGTCACGGAAGACCAGTTACCGTGCAGTAGCCATGTTGCCTTGACTTCACACTTCGCCACCGCCTTCTAGTTTTCACTTCGCAGCAGATCGATCGCCCTGTTCCGATTTCAGCCTCTATGAAAAATTGCGGCTGCGGCGCGTGTGGGAGGGGCGGGGACAGTGGGGGACAGAGGGGGCGGGGCGAGGCGAGCGACGGGCTCGGAAAAAGGGTTGCCACGGAGCAAACGCACCCGTCGAGCTTGGTGCGGGAAAAGTCCTCGCGGAAACTGGGTTAACGAACTCGGCTTTGGTCGCGGTGCTGTAGGGCCAGTAGGGCCGTGCAAGGCGGAGCGGGAGGGGGCGGGGAAGCACGGGCGCTCCCGCCCGTCGTGCCCGCCGCCCGCTTTTGGCGACATTACCCTCTTTTCCTTCCCCGCCCGCCGCAAGATCCACAGGGCCCACAGGGGGCGGGCGTCGGGTGGTCCGCTCGCGAGGCGGGGCCCAAGGCCCGACGGGCAGGTGTCAGCAGGTGGTGGCGGAGGGCTTGGCGTAGCTTGGCGTAATAGCGGGCCGCGAGTGCAGGGGGCGCCTTGCCTGCCCGGCCCGGCCCTGCCAGGCCCTGCCGCCCCCGCGGCCCCAGACCCCTTTGCCCCCCAGGCTGCCGCTACTGCCGCGGGCATGTCACGGTCACCGCGATTCACCGCCCTGTTGTTCAGTTGGCAGCACGCTGGGCCTGCGGCAAGGCCTGCGGCAAGGCCTGCGGCATGCTGGCGACGGCTGCGGCGGTGGTGGCAGCCCTGGGGACGGCCCTGGGGGCCGCGCTGCGGGGGCGGCGGCCGGGGGCGGTGCCGGGGGCGGTGCTGGGGGCGGTGCTGCAGGCCGTGCTGCTGGCCACGCCGCCGTCGGTGCAGGCCATCGCGGGGGGCGTCCCCGCCAAGGAGAGGGAGTACCCGTTCGTGGCCGCGTTCGGTGAGTGCTTGTCCCACGCGTGGCCCTTGTTGTGCCCGCACTGTCTCTCTCGCACCCCTACGAAACGCCCAAGGGAACATAACTCCAGCAAAATTGACCAAAATTCATCAAACATCTAAAATTTACTAAAATTCATGAAAATTCGTAAATATTTGACTGAAATTCATTAAAATTTGACCGAAATTCATCAAACTTTGACCGAAATTCATCGAAATTTGACTGAAATTCATTGGATTTGTACACCGAAATTCTCAGTGATTTCCCCTATGAGTGCGAGGGAGACAGAGATAGCCCTCTCTGTCTGCAGTCCGCCGCGCCGGCACGTGCACGGCCATCGTGTTGACGGAGCACTGGCTGCTCACCGCCGCGCACTGCTACACCATGCGTGGCCGCTCCGAGACCAACCCCTACCTGACCGACGTGAGTACCACTGGAGTACACTGGAGTTGCTCTCTGCCAAGTGATTCTTACGAGCGATTTGTCCCTCTGTGTCTCTCTCATCCTTTTGAAGAGCCCTATGAGTGCGACAAAAGCCAGAGTGACGAAGCCGCGAAATGGGAGTCGAACCGGACGTGTGACCGCACCAATGGATTGCTCCCCGATCGAGGAATCAATTGGTGGGGGTCACACGTTCGAATCGAGTCCTGTTTAGCGACTCTAGAGCTCTAAACGCGTCTAGAGTTTAGGCAGCCTCCACCGGTCTTCTGGTCCACTGTCCGCTGGCTGTGCTGCAGGTGTACGCCGGGCTGGTGGACGTGTCTCGGGGCGCGGTGCACGGCTGCGGCCCGGGCTGCCAGCACCGCGAGTCCCACCTGGTGCACTTCCACCCGCACTTCCGCGCCAGGGCCAGCCGCTCCTCGTACGACGACGCGCACCACAACAACCTGGCCCTGCTGCACGTCAGCAAGGCCTTCTGGCTGGACACGGACTGGGTGCGGGCGGCCGTCAGGGCCCCGGCGCCCACCAAGGGTGAGTCCGCGACGCGGCCTTCTGGCCAACGCGGTGACTCTCTTTAGAGCCCTAGAGTAGTGCTCTAGTAGGGCTCTAGCTCTCTTCTGTTCCTCTTTCACTCACACTGCTCCCTTGCTTCCCCCAGTGTGCTCATGCAAGGTGGTGGGCTTCGGCATGGGCGGGGTGGGCCCGCACGCCTTCGCGCCGGGCCGCCTGCTCAAGGCCGACCGCGTGCCCGTCCTGCCCTTCAAGCTGTGCCCGCCGTCGCGCGTCACCCCCATGCCCAGGGCCACGCTCTGCTCCGACTCCAAGGTCGGCGTGGCGCCGTGCCTCGGCGACGCGGGGGCGCCCGTCATCTGCGACGGCATGGTGGCAGGTGAGAGATTCGATGCCGAGAGCCGTTTTCGTCGCTCTGCCTCTCTCGCACCTGCACGGGTCGCCCCACGAGTGCGAGAGAGACATAACGAGGAAAATGATTCTCGGAATCAGTGTGCTGGCAGAGCCAAGTGCGTAATTTTGTTCTCATGAAATGCTGCTAAGCACATTTTATGCACATAATCAAGAACCTATAAAGCCCCAATCCGACTGACTCACTGACTGACTCACTCACTCACTCACTCACTCATAGAAATGTTTGGGGTGAAGGAGTGGTCGTAGAGACTTGCGGTTTTTTCCATTCGATTCCAAATTTAATGGGAAAATTGGGAAAAATCCCAAAAGTTGAAAATTCCTCACCGTTTCCGAGAAAATCTACTTTATCTACAAAAAAGGGGAACAAATTTCTCACCGTTTCCGAGCAAACCTACTCAATCTTCAAAAAAGGGGACCGACCGACTAAAAATTTTTATTCGCCCCATCGGTAGGTCTGGTCGAGACATTTCCGAATCTGTGCCGCAATCCGGTCTCCGTCACTGGCAACATCCTAAAAACGATATAATAATATGTAAAAATAGGCCTAAATTCAACAAAATCCACTCTATCTTCAAAAAAGGGGACCGACCGACTGAAAATTTTTATTCGCCCTATCGGTAGGTCTGGTCGAGACATTTCCGAAACTGTGCCGCAATCGGGTCCCCGTCACCGGCAACACCCTCAAAAACGATTAAATAGGCCTAAATTCAAAAAACCACTCAATCTTCAAAAAAGGGGACCGACCGACTGAAAATTTTTTTTCGCCCCATCGGTAGGTCTGGTCGAGACATTTCCGAAACTGTGCCGCAATCGGGTCCCCGTCACCGGCAACATCCTCAAAAACGATAAAATAGGCCCAAATTCAACAAAATCCACTCAATCTTCAAAAAAGGGGACCGACCGACTGAAAATTTTTATTCGCCCCATCGGTAGGTCTGGTCGAGACATTTCAGAAACTGTGCCGCAATCGGGTCCCCGTCACCGGCAACATCCTCAAAAACGATTTAATAGGCCTAAATTCAATAAAATCCACTCAATCTTCAAAAAAGGGGACCGACCGACTAAAAATTTTTATTCGCCCCATCGGTAGGCCTGGTCGAGACATTTCCGAAACTGCGCCGCAATCGGGTCCCCGTCACCGGCAACATCTTCAAAAACGATTAAATAGGCCTAAATTCAACAAAATCCACCCAATCTTCAAAAAAGGGGACCGACCGACTGAAAATTTTTATGCGCCCCATCGGTAGGTCTGCTCGAGACATTTCCGAAACTGGGCCGCAATCGGGTCCCCGTCACCGGCAACATCCTCAAAAACGATTAATAGGCCTAAATTCAACAAAATCCACTCAATCTTCAAAAAAGGGGACCGACCGATTAAAAATTTTTATTCGCCCCATCGGTAGGTCTGGTCGTGACATTTCCGAAACTGTGCCGCAATCGGGTTCCCGTCACCGGCAACATCTTCAAAACGATGAAATGGGCCTAAACTGAACAAAATACAACCGTTTCCAAGCAATAAAAGCCATGTAATATATTGCGTCTTAAACCTGGCCGGTGAAATCTGTAGAAATCAGAAATGAAAGACGCAAAAGAGGCCCATTAGTTTGGCCTTCGGCCACATAGACCATAATGAACACAGATCTTATTCTTGTCAAAGCAGTCTTCAATATTTTCCGGACCTTGAATGCCGTTGACTGCCACAGTAGCCAATACAAGCTATCTATTTGGGCAGTAATAGTACCTTAAAAATTAATGGTCAAAAGCAGTTAAATAGACCCTTCCAAAAAGCAGTACAGTTACTTCATAAGAAAATTTTCCTTTGGTCACCACGGACTAACTAAAAATACTTCGGTACGCGCCCCACACATGCGGGGGTCTGGGGGCGGAGCCCCCAGCGAGCAGCGCGAGTAATGTAACTATGCATACATTTTTTGGCGGACACAATACAAAAATGGACATTTTATGCGCCAAAAATGCAACAATGCTCATCTTTGGTGCATTTGAGGCAGGCTCATTAGACGCGCCTAATATGGTATAAGCATTTTAATGCGCAAGGTATGCAAAAGTCACATTTTGCGCCTGCAAATAGGCAACTGTTCCTACATCGCATCCCCCTGAACCCGTCTCTGGATCCACGCAAGTCTTGTCCTATCCCCTGTCCCGACTACACTCTAAATGTAGGGTGTCCAGAAACTGGGCGCCTTTGTCGCCTGCCCCACTTTTTAGGGTGCCAAATGTCGCCCAGTTTCTGGGCACCTTTGTCGCCTAGTCTCGGGGTGGACAAACCATTAAGGAACCTGCCTTCACCCATGGCTCAGCAGCGACTAAGGTGCCAAAGGTGCCCAGAATTTGGGCACCTTAGTCACCCAGGAACTAGACACCTGTGCATCCTCTACCATGGGAGAGGGCCGGTTGCTGTATGATTAGTCCACCCCGAGACTGGGCGACAAAGGTGCCCAGAAACTGGGCGACATTTGGCACCCTGAAAAGTGGGGCAGGCGACAAAGGCGCCCAGTTTCTGGGCACCCCATATTTAGAGTGTAGTCCTGTCGAAAATCTTTAGTAACTTTGAAAATAGTCGGAAAGTTTGCAACTCTCGTCCTGTTGCAATGCAGGGATGGCGCTGGGGGTGTACGAGAGTCAGTGGGAGTACACGGGCCACACCTTCTACTGCGGCTTCCTCAAGTCGTGCAGCCTGTTCGGACTGTACGCGTCGCTGGAGCCCTACAAGGCGTGGCTGGACAGCGTCGTGTTCCGGTCCTCGCAGGCCGCCTTCACCGGCGCCGCGGCCCAGCTCGGCTTCCTGGGGATGCGACTCCCCAACGCCAGCCAGGTCGGCGACCCGGACGCCGAGTGTTGAGTGAGGACCCCGTCGTTGGGTGTGCTGCCCGAATGTTGATGAGGATTAATTGATCACTGCCATGATCGTGATATTGGTTTATACGTGTAAAAGCCAGCCAGTGTGTGTTCACCTGTTTGTGTAGAATAAGGCGTGAAAATAAATGGTAAAATAATTCTCGATGTTTCACTGCGCCTCAGGGAAAATAAACTGCATATCGTGACTGCAAAAATGAAAAAAAAATGCGGTAAAACAATATAGGTTTTCAACAATATGATTTTATTGTTCATCCTGCCTACAGTCTTAAATGGTTGGTCGCAGCGCGTACCCATCACAGCTAAAGGGAAAAAGTAAAGCCAAAAAGACAGTCAGGGAAGTCCCGGGTTCGACTGCGCCAGCTCGACGTTTCAGCAAAATCCGACGCACTGTGGCTTGCGCGTCCGCGGCGGCGATGTAGACATGGTGACGCCGACGAGGCCCTCGCGAGGTCCAGTATAGGGTGGCCACGCGGCGATCTCGCCGAGGAGTCCGTGCCTTGACTAGTGGCCGTCGGGGCGCGGGCTGAAGTGGCCACTCTAACTCGCGCGTCTTCTCCTCCTTGCGCGCCGCGACCGCCCCGTTCACCTTCCCTCCATCATATTGCTGAGATCGGGGGTCGTGGGTGTTCAGTATCGGTAGCCGCCGTTGCCGCCCCCGTTGCCGCCGCCCCCGGAGTAGCCGCCGTTGCCGCCGCCCCCGGAGTAACCGCCGTTGCCGCCGCCCCCGGAGTAACCGCCGTTGCCGCCGCCGCCGGAGTAGCCCCCTCGGCCGCCGGCGCCGCCGCCGTTGCCGCCGCTGCCGCGGTACTGGCCGTCGTCCACGATGCCGCGCGCCTCGTCCGCCGCGTTCTGCGCGATGGCGCGCTGGATCTCCGGCGGGATGGGCGGCGGCGTGGGCAGGTGCTCGCCCTGCGGCTGGAAGCCGTTCTCGTCGGCCGTGTACGTGACGGAGTAGCGGCGGCCGTCGTCGGGCGCCGTGAACGAGAACGAGCCCTGCGCGCGCAGCACGCCCTCGCCGCCGTCGTCCTGCAGCTGGCCCTGCTCCTGGGCCTGGATGCCGTTCTCGGTCTCGTAACTGCCACAGAGAACAATCGCAAGTTCAAAAGTGAAAAGGTCTTCCTGCAAGTGAGGCGCCGGACTGGCCAGCCAGCCGCCTCACTCAGGACGATCGTTTCGTCGCTCTGTCTCTCTCGCACCCATACGCGACCCCCCATGAGTGCGAGAGAGACAGAGTGACGAAAGAATCCTGCGGCGATAGGGCGTTTCTTTAATTGACGAGGCCCTCGGTACTCGTGGACTCGATTCCCTTATAAGCGGCAGCGCGTTGCCGTTGTCCTGGTGGACGACACAATGCGTGGCGGGGCGTGGCGTGGCGGGGCGTGGCGTGGCGGGGCGGGGCGTTAGCAATATCGTGTCGATACCGTGCGACGGGGAACTTGATTACGCGCCGTTTGGTTTCGTTTCGTTTCGCTACGCCGCCGCGCTGCGCTCTGGAAAGGTCAGCACACGTGTAAAAGCAACCAGGGCATCCCAGGCACGCCACGCACCGCGGCCACCGCCGCGCCGTCCGCGCCGGCCGTTTACAGGCGAGCCGAAGGCATTCGGATGAATCACCTCATCAAGCCCCTCCCCCTCCCCCTCCTCTCGTCGGCGAGGTGCTCGGCGAGGTCCTCGCGGTGCTCCAGTTGCGCGGCCCGTCACGTCGCGCACCCTTCACTCGGCGACACACGGTGACGAAGACGCACTGCTTCGCCACCTCAGCGACCCTCCACGCGCGCGCCGTGCCCTGCATTGCCATGCATGAGCAGTGTCGCGGCCGCGCGCCGCATGCCGATCCACCATCCCCTTCACTGTGACAGCCTCCACGTTTTACACTGTGGGCCCGGCGGCCGCCATCCTCGCCGCGCTTGGCGCCCCGTTGCCCCACTCTTTTCAATACGTGCCTCAGTTCATGACGATGCAGCCGTGATAGAGGCCAGAGGACCCTCTGACGTTGCACAAGGCGGCGATCCAGCCCCGCCCCCGACCTGCGCCGTCCCGCCCCGCCCCGCCACGCCCCGCCCCGCCCGCCGCTCCGTTTGGACTCGGAGCGCGACGTGACGGCCCAAGTTTTGCGGGGAGCCACAAAACCAACACTATACTACCGGCATGGACCCGCGGAGGCACAGCCCGTCTACGTGCGCCCGTAAAAGGCCGAAGAATAGGGAAGAATTAAACCGTTCTACCGCACTCTGCCAACGAAACGACAGTACCACAGCGCGCGAAGCACGATGCTCCGTCTTTGTCACTCACCTGTATCTGTAGGTGCCGTCTCCGTTGTTCTCGTTGATGAGGGAGATTATTCCAATTTGCTGTCCGCCGCCGCCGCCGCCGCCCCCAGCGCGGAATCCACCGCCGCCGCCTCCGCCCCCGGAGTATCCACCGCCGCCGCCTCCAGAGTATCCGCCGCCGCCTCCTCCAGAGTATCCGCCGCCGGCGCCGCCCCCGAACGAGCCGCCGCCGCCGCCCCTCCGCGGGGGCAGGTACGAGTTGGACTGGGCGGCGACGCAGGCGCAGCCCGCCAGGAGGGTGAGGCACGCCCACTGACGACACAACGCACACTGTCACACGCACGCACGCACACACACAGGCAGCAACTGGAAACAAGAGCAACTAGCTCACCGAGGAGCGCATGCTGGGGCAGGGGCTTAGAGCTCGCCGTGCAGGATGGCAATGGGGACTGACGCCTCAATCAGCCTCATGCGGGTTATATACCTGCCGGCTGGAGGGGCTCCTCCAGTGCGGCCTGGCCGGCGTGGCCGGCGTGCTGCAGCAGGGCGTGGGGTGGCGCGCGGGGCGTCGCAAGTAGTTCGCCACCAACCCCCACCTACACCGCCAACAGTGGTGCAGCGCTGAGCAGCGCCCCGCCGCCTCTGCCGAGCGCCGCGAAGCACTGCCAGACTGATTCCGAGAGTCGTCTTCGTCGCTCTGTCCCTCCCGTGAGTGCGAGAAAGACGGAGCGACGAGAACGACTCTCGGAATCAGTCTGCATGCGAAGGCCTCAAGGAGAAAGAAGATCGGCATTTAGATGACGGCGAACCCGACGCGGGTTTCAACTGGAGCTCCGGCGACGGCGAGCCGGCGACTCGGCGACCACCCCACGCCGCCCTCCACCTCCACCTCCGCCCCACTGCAACGACGGACAGACGCAGCGCGGAGTCTGGCCGTCGTCGCGGTTTGGCCTACAGAGCGGCGCCGAACACCGCTCTGTCTCTCTCGCACTCATGGGGCGTCCCGTTGGGGTGCGAGAGAGACAGAGCGACGAGGAGATCCTTCGGAACGAGGCGGCCGGCTTTGCCTGGCTTTGCCTTTGCGGAGCGCAGCGCGTTTCCCAGTAAATGTCGCAGTCCCTTGCACTATTGGCACTCCGTGCGGCACGCCGCGCGCGCTGCGAATAACGCGATGATGATGATGGCTTCTGCGTGCGGTCCGCGGTCCAGCTCGGACTCAATGTTCACCCGCCGCCTTCGCCGCCCTTCATTCCTGACCTCATTCATTCGACCCATCTATCTATCCATCTACTCATCCACGCTGGTAAAATTAACAGCGGCCTTCGCTGGACGCCAGCGAGAAGTACGGCGACGAAGTTCACCACCTCCAGAGCTGGTGGTGCTGCAGTCGGTGACACCCATGAGAGTAGTTCCTCTCGTTTGACAGTGGATGCTGCATTGTCAGCTGATTCTCTACCGAGTGGGTCCCACAGCCGACAACCTGTGAGGCAGGTGCCGATTTCGCATCTCGTATCTCCTCAGTGGATCCCGCTCTTGGATGCTGTTATTCCATCCCGTATCCTTGGTGCGGTAGGGTGAGGGATCCACTGTGGTAATACGGGATGCCGGCACCAGTCTTCAGAGGATCCGCTGAGACACTGTGGGACCCACTCGGTAGAGGATCAGCTGATAATGCAGCATCCACTGTCAAAGTCAAACGAGATGCAGTTCTATAGGTGTCACTGACTGCAGCACCACTGGCGGTGTGTCGAACTACGTTGCCGCACTCCTCGCTGGCGTCCAGCCGCAGCGGCGGCCGTTGCTTAGTTTTACCAAGACGCGTATCATCCCGTTCCATTTTCCGAGAAGCGCTACGACACGCCTCAGTTTTTCCGCGCATCATCCATCCGTCTATCCGTTTGTTTCATTCAGCCAACGACAAGGCTTGTTATTTCGGACGGAGGTCGGTTCGGATGTCCGCCACCGTCAGCGCGCCACTGTCGCCGATGAACCGCGACGCGGCCCTGTCTGTCGGCCGTCCCCCGCCTCCACCCGTCACCGACTCGGCCCGTCCCAACGCATCATCGCCGTGACAGTGATTGTGTCCTCCAAACGGCGGCAGGACATCAAGACGGTAAGAACTGCGCCCGCTTGTTTGTGTCGTCACTGCCGCGCGGGACACTCGCGTCCAAAACAACTTGCGCGAGTGAAAGTGAAGCGAGGGTGGGCAGGGTAGGGGCAGGGTGCTAGGTTAGTCGTCCGCCGAGGGTGTTCGGTTCGGCTCGGCTCGGCTCGGCGGGGAGCGAAGAAGGAAGATCGTTTCGTCGCGCTGTCTCTGTCACTCCCGTGGGCATTAGCGAAAGAGACAAAGCGATCCGTCTCTTCGGACCTTCGAACTCAGCGGACTGATGCCGAGTCGCTCTGTCTCTCTCGCACCTATACAGGATGCCCCATGAGTGCAAGAGAGACAGAGCGACGAAAACGACTCTCGGAATCAGTCCGCAGGCGTCTGGCGGGGTAATAGGATTGGGCGCCGCGAGCGGAGAGTGAAGTTTGGCGGTTTTGATGGCCGGGGTGTGAAAAACGCTAGAAGCCGCGCGCATGGAATATGGATCCATATTCCACGATGGACTGGGCGGCGCGGCGCGGTCTGCCCTTGGACGCAGCCATTCAGCGGCCGACATTTGCTCTCCATAATTGGGCGCGCTGCTCCTGCAGACTGATTCCGAGAGTCGATTTCGTCGCTCTGTCTCTCTCGCACTCGTGGGGCGCGCCGCGTAGGTGCGAGAGAGACAGAGCGACGAAGGCGACTCTCGGAATCAGTCTGAGGTGGCCGCGGCGCCGCGGCACTCGGCCGGCGGTAAGTGAACTGGAAACCTGGCCGGGCCGGCTGAACTCCGGGCGGTCTTCTTCGCGAGTGTGAGTGGCGGAGTGGCGGAGCGGCGAGCGGGTTTCTGCCCCTTCCACGCGTTCCCCGCCGACGGGCCATGACAGGCCGCGGCGCCCCGCGCGTGTCCCTGCTAAGGTCAGCCGGCTGATTCCGAGAGTCGTTTTCGCCGCTCTGTCTCTCTCGCTCCTACACGGGGCGGCCGATGAGTGCGGGAGAGACAGAGCGACGAAAACGACTCTCGGAATCAAGCCGCAGGGAATGGAAGCCATCTTTCTCTCCGCGTGAACTTGGACCACGCACTGTTTTCGGCCGGGCGCGGTGCGGGCTGAGCATCCCGTCGACCCATCGCGCTGTCTCTGTCGCACTCGCGGGGCGGTCCGCAGGGGTGCGAGGGGGACGGAGCACCCAGCGGCGCGGCCTTGAGAGCGCGTGCAGCCGTGCACAATCTCGCCGCCCGCCCCGCCCAAGATAATCGTAAGCAGATTTCGGCTTCGGCGCGTCGAGTTTCAAACGCGCTGGAAGACGCGCGTCGCCGCGCCGCCGGCTGGGCTTTGCCGTCGGCTAGGCTTTGTCGTCGCCAAGGAGACTTCCACCTTCTCGGCCGTCGGCTTTGGCGCCTTAGCCGTCTCCTTCATAGCGGTCGCGAGCGACCGGCCTGACTTCGATTCCCGCCGGCGGCGTGTTTGCGGCGTTTTTTTGTGGGTGGGTAGGCCAGCCCGTCAAGCACCGCTGTTGAGTGGCCTACCCTGCCAGGGGCTCCACCTCTAAGCTGTTTAATTTCGTGTTTGAATGGGGCTGACTGATTCCGAGTGCGGTTCTCGTCACTCTGTCTCTCTCACACTCATAGGGCTCGACTTCGATTCCCGCCGGCGGCATGTGTGTTGACGGCGTTTTTTTTTGTGGGTGGGTGTCAGCCCGGCGGGTAGGCCAGCCCGCCAAGCACCGCTGTCTATTTTGGCCTACCCTGCCATTACCATTAAGGGCTAGACCACACATGATCGTATGCCATTTCGGGCCCGAGGGACTCTCACCTCTCCGCTCTTTAATTTCGTATTTGACTGGTGCTGGCCGTGAACTGCGGACCGAGAGTCGTTTCCGTCGCTCTTTCTCTCTCGCACTCACGGGGCGTCCCGTATGGGTGCGAGAGAGACAGAGCGACGAAAGCGACTCTCAGTGTGCAGCCAGGGCCTCGCCGGCCTTGCCCTTGGCCGCGGCGGCGCCTCGCCTCGGCCGCGCCGTGCTGCTTTGGAACGGTCTCGACGTGGACGTGGCGCGACTGTCAGAGCAGAGCGATGCAAAGCGACATCCGATGCGCGTGCACACGTGTAGCGAGTAACGAGACGTCCGCCACACTGCAGACTGATTCCGAGAGTCGTCGCTCTGTCTCTCTCGCACCCATACGGGACGCTCCATGAGTGCGAGAGAGACAGAGCGACGAAAACGACTCTCGGAATCAGTCTGCAGGCGCGCGTGCTGCACGTGGTGTCCTTTCATGCACTGCAAACTGATTCCGCACAGCAGTGCGACGGAGAGAGACGGAGCGACGAAAGCGCTTTTTTCGGGCTCGGCCGTCTGTCTCCCTGCATAGCTCGAGTGGAGTGAGCTGTTTAGAGAGACGGGTGGGACTGGTCGCGCTGTGTGTGTGTGTGTGCGCGTGCATGTGCGTGGTGTGTGTGTTTGTGTGTGTGACTGCCATGCCTACGCGTTATATTTTGCTGGCACTCTTCTCTGACCGCCATGGCGCGCCACTCCCCGGACCACACGGCAGTTCAAATCTCTGCTATGATGATGATGCCCATCGCAACGCTCTCGCGCGCACGCACACAGTCGCATTGCGAAAGGGGCATCAGCAAAACGAGCGGGGAGGGGTGCGAGTCTTACAACGGCCGGCCGCCGCGGTGACCCGGCCGACCAGCCGCTGCGGAGACTGATTCCGAGAGTCGTCTTCGTCGCCCTGTCCCTCTCGCACCTTTACGGGACGCCCCGTGAGTGCGAGAGAGACAGAGCGACGAAGACGACTCTCGGAATCAGTCTGCTGGCGACCCGCCTCGGCCACGCTGTCGCCGCGTCTCCTTCTAAAGAGGCCGTCCCCGCGCGTTTGCACTGTCGTCGTCGGCATGCTGATGAGAAGTTTAAATTTGGCGCCGACCCCGTGCCCCCGCTGCAAGAAGTGAGCGGTCCCCCGATGCGTATCGCTGACATACTCATACACGCTGCTTTGTAGTGGGCGCTGAGAGGAGACTGGAGGAGACAGTGGTCTGTTGTGGTCTGCGCGGGGAGGGAAGCCCGTTGGGTTGCCTACCCCCGCGGCGCGCGCCACTGCCGTCACTGCTTCTGCGCGGCACCGCCGTTACGAGCGCCCTCTTCGAGTTCCTTCGACTCCCTTCGACCCTCTTCGACTCCCTTCGACTCCCTTCGACTCTCTTCGACTCGCTTCGGCACCCTCGTCCGGACAACCACTTTTGATGTTTGGAAGCACAAGATTTCAGAAAGGAATGTAATTCGTCGGATTTCGTACTTTTTCATTGGATTTCAGGTCCGAAATTAGGACACTATTCTGCCGTTTTTTTGCCTCTTTTGGGATGTAATATTTCTAATTTCAAGGGATTTCGAGGCAGTTCTCGTGATTGTGATTTCAAGGGGTACAGGATTTTGCAGGTGCACTGTGAAAATTTGTTGTCACTTTATGAAAAAAATCGTGGATGATGTTTTTATCACTTTCAAATAATGACAATTTCATCACAAAATTGATGACATTTTCATCAAAGCATCAAAGTGTCTATACTGATTGCAGGGGGCGTGCCAACAATGTCATCCAGCAATCGTTTTGATGCCATCCTCATCCTTGTAAGGAAAATTAGCCTTGAAATTGTCATCAAGTGACAACTCAAAGTTTCACAGTATGGCTCCCGCGCATGCGCCCTCCGACAACCTTAGAAACCCTTCGACCCCTTTGGCACCCCTCTGCACCCTTTCGGTACACTGTGACACCCTTCGAGCTTCGAGCCTCTTCGATATCTTTCGAACCTCCTCGATATCCTTCGAAACGCCGCGCTCCTCCTCGTCCTGGTGGCTGGGCTGCCCGGGCGAGGCGGCCCGAAGGACGCGCGCTCGTCCCAGATGTTCCCCGCTAATGTGACTGCCATTATTATTTCGTGCACTCGCTCCGCCTGCAGAGCGACTCCCAACAGCGCCGCCGTCGTCGCTCTGTCTCTCTCGCACTCGCGGGGCGTGCCGCAGGGGTGCGAGAGAGACAGAGCGACTGCACGCCGCGGCCCGCCGTGATTGATGCATGAAAGACAACCGGCCAAATTCCGTCGGGTGATTGGTTTTCGTGACTGCAGGTGGAGCGCGCTGCAGACCGATTCCGAGAGTCGTGTTCGTCGCTCTGTCTCTCTCGCACCGCTGCGGCACGCCCCATGAGTGCGAGGGAGACAGAGCGACGAAAACGACTCTCGGAATCGGTCTGCCGCGCGCTGCATGCCGTGGGCCGTGCTCGCGAGTCACGGCCTCGGCGAGGCGAAGCAAGGCGGCGCTTCCAAACCAAAATCACTTTTGCAAGCATTTCTTTCTCCTTCTCGCGTGACGCCGTGTTTGCAGTGTGTCGGGGCGCGAGGGAGGGCTTCGGGGCGAGCGATAAGGAAAGGAAGCCAAGCAGTCTGGTGGAGCAGAATAATTTAATGACCTGGCTGAACGGCGCCGCTTCTCTGAAGCGGAACAACTCTATCACATTCACACGACACACACTCACACACCTTGCGGTCCGTCTGTACTGTACAGGGAAGCATCAACGTGATGCATTCGGGGCGCGCGGGGCGGCGGGGGGAAGGAACGGGGCTGCGTTCCGACTATCCGCAGGCGGGGCTGCGACTGCGAATAGTGGCAGGCTGGGCTACGTTCACAATATCGGCAGGCAGGGTTGCGACTGCGAATAGTGGTGGGCAGAGCTGCGTTCCGACTATCGGCAGGCAAGGTTTGCGACTGCGAATAGATGTAAGCAGAGCTGCGTTCCCACTATCGGCAGTCCGGGTTGCGACTGCGAATAGTGGCCGCCACGGCCCCTCGCCGCTCCGCGCGGAGCGCTATTGGCAGCGACCGCCGCGACAGGGGCGCTGTTTGAGGCGCCAAACGGCGCCGTGTCGCAGCGATCCGGGTGGTAACTCTAGGACGAGGTGGTAACTCTGAGGTAACTGTAGCGGGGCCCAGGGGGGCGGGGTCGGCTTAGTAGTGGTATCCGTCGTTGCTGTTGTTGTTGTTGCTGTTGGCGGCAGAGTTGCTGCTGGACTTGGTGGCGGTGTAGCCGTTGTTGGCGTTGTAGGCGTTGTTGGCGTTGTAGCCGTTGTTGTTGAAGGCGTTGTTGGCGTTGAAGGCGTTGTTGTTGTTGTAGGCGTTGTTGGCGTTGAAGGGGGTGCTGCCGCCGCGGACGGCGAAGGCCTGGCCGTGCTGGCCGCCGTGCTCGGGGCCGTGGTGCTCCGCGCGGTACTGGCCTGCGGTATGAGAAATTCGAAGATGCATTAATTAGTGGCGTCCGAGTGAGGCAGCGCTGCGTGCGGCAGGCAGATTCCCCACGGGGGTTCTCCCTCTCTCTCGCACTCATGGGGAGCACAGTGGGCCAGAAGACCGGCGGAGGCGGCCAAAAGTCCAGACGCGTTTTGAGCTCCAGAGTCGCTAAACACTACTCGAACCGAACGTGTGACCCCACCAATGGATTGCTCTCCGAACGAGGAATCCATTGGTGGGGTCACACGTTCGGTTCGAGGCCTGTTTAGCGACTCTGGAGCTCAAAACGCGTCTAGAGTTTTGGCCGGCTCCACCGGTCCTCTGGCCCACCGTGGGGAGGCCCGTGTGGGCGCGAGAGAGACGGTCCGAACCAGCCTGCAGGGCGCATCGCGGACTCGGCCTTGGCGGCCTGATGGCTGACTGACGGCCGGAGACGGGTTCGGCGCAGGCGGGCGCGAGGCGCGAGGCCGCCAGAGACTCACCGTCGTCGTTGAGGCCGCGGGCCTCGTCGGCGGCGTTCTGCTCCAGGGCGCGGAGGATCTCGGCGGGGACGGGGGGAGGCGTGGGCAGGTGGTCGCCGTACGCCAGGAAGCCGTTCTCGTCGGCGGTGTAGGTGACGGTGTAGCGCTGGTTGTTGTCGGGGGCGGTGAAGGCGTACGCGCCCTGCACGGCGGCAAGGCCCTCGGCGCCGTCGGCGCGGACCTGGCCCTGCTCCTGGGCCTGGATGCCGTTCTCAGTCTCGTAGCTGTAACAAATCCGCGGTCGCATTAGCCGTGGTGACAGCGGTCCTGGTTTCGGAGTAACAGGTCCGAGGTTCAAAACCTCGGTTGCATTTCAATTTTTCTAGTGTCTCACCTGAAGGTGTAGGTGCCGTCGCCGGGGTTCTCGTTGACCTGCTTGATGATGAGGGCGGGGCGCGGGGTGGGCTGCTGGAAGCTGCCGCTGTACGCGTTGACGGCCTGCAGGGGCCGCTGCTCCTGCTGCGTCCTGACGGTCTCGAAGGAGTTCAAAGAGGCCGGGCGGGCTTGCTCCGCGATAAGGGGCGCGCTACCGGCGTTGAAGGCGTTGCCGGCGTTGAAGTTGTTGCCGGCGTTGAAGGCGCTGCCGGAGTTGAAGTTGTTGTTGCCGTTGAAGCCCTTGATGGTCTCGCTGCGGCTTCGGAGTTTCTGGGCGATGAGCGGGGGCGCCAAGGTGCTCGACACGGCGCCGCCGAACGGGGTGGCCAGGTTGCTGCCTCCGGCCTGGGCCGCGCCGGGCGGCGGCAGGTACGTGTTCTCCAGGCGGCCGGCCAGCGCGCAGCCCGCCAGCATCATGATGCACGCCACCTGGAGGGCAGCAGGGCAGGCCGTCAGGCGCCGTCGGGCCGTTTTCGGGATTACCACACGTTCGCGTTCGATGAGTCCGCTCGGGCGGGTCTGACCGCGCGGCCGCCACCCCCGGCCCCAAGCCCGGCCCGGCCCCGGGGCGTGCGTTGGCCAGCCCACGGCGGGCTCGTTCCGAACAGCGCTTTCGCGGCCTCTCTCTCGCACCCTGGCGTGCCGAACCGGGCGAGAGAGACAGAGCGACGGCCTGCAGCCTTCCCCGGCCATAAACTCGCGTTCTGACTGCGCGGGTCAGCGGGTCGGCGCGGCCGGCGTGTCGGGGAGCCACACCCAAATCAAGGGACTGGCGCGGCCGGCCGGGAACAAGCCAACGAGTCTAGGCCAGTGTAGGTACAAGCGCCGCCAACTTTGCGCCGCGTTTGCAACTTCATTTTCGAAACAAAGTAGTAAATGAGTGCGTGTTGCCGCGCCGCGGGCGCGCGGTGGCCGTGGCGGCCGAGCGGCGGAGGAGTAGCCGTCGAAGCCACGCCGCCGTGCCGTGCCGTGCCGTGATTCCATGATAGGCGGCGGCGCGGGGAGTCCCGTCCTAGAGTCTTGGCTCGCGGGGCCGCACGGGTCAAGCCCGCCAGCGCCGCCAGCCCAGGCCACCGGTCAGGTCGGAGAGTGACTCTCGGACCGACTGGGGGATACCTCTCGACGGTCGACAGCCTGCGGACTGACAACTAGTCCAGCCCCGCCGCAGAAACACGCACATATCGCACGCAGACACACGCAAAACAACACACTCACACAAAAACACACACGCGCACGCACTCACACTCACTCACACTCACTCACTCACACACACACACACACACACAGAGAGAGAGAGAGAGAGAGAGAGAGAGAGAGAGAGAGAGAGAGAGAGAGAGAGAGAGAGAGAGAGAGAGAGAGAGAGACTTTGAGTGCGCTTCTCTCTCTCTCACTCAAAGCGCACTCAAAGTCTCTCTCTCTCTCTCACACTCTCTCTCTCTCTCTCTCTCTCTCTCTCTCTCTCTCTCACACACACACACACACACACACACCCACACACACACACTCTTCTTGCGCGCTAACAGTGCGGTGGCGAACCAGTCCGTCATCGAACGTGCTCGTCCTCAGGCCTGCCTCTGCCACGGCCTGCCACTTGGTGCGCGTGACCGGATTCCCACTTTGCCCCCCCCCCCCCCCCCCGCCCAGGTGACAGACGAGCCCCGCGGCGCTGCACCGCCTTTCCCCCACGAGCCGAAAATGGAAATAAAAATAGAAATATTGCACCGTCTTGATCATTTGCAAACACGTTTATGCGATCCTTGGGTTTTGAATTTGGGCGCGTGATCCACTGGCATGTTCACGCTCTGAGGCCGGGTCAGGTCCACCTTAATTAACCGACGCAACGGACGGCCGGGCACTGCGGACTGATATTCCGAGAGTCGCTTTCGTCGCTCTGTCTCTCTCGCACTCGTGGGGCGTCCCGTATAGGTGCGGGAGAGACGCGGAGCGACGAAAAACGACACGCTCGGAATCAGCCTGCTGGCGGGCAGCTTCAAGTAATGTCACTGCGTCTAGCGACCTCCAGGCCTCATCTAGTGGCCTGGCCAACCTGCCCCCCCCCCCCCCATCTCACATTGCCCTCTGACACGAATCTAGGATGACCTACACGTGGCACTTTAATGACACCGGTCTAGAAAATATAAAAGTTATTTCAAATTTAGCTCCATTTTTCTGTGCTCTCTGATGAATGGAACATACATTCTGACAAAAAATGAAAATAATTTAACAATAAAACAAATGACCTTGTCATTTAATGACTAGAACTAATTTTGGGTTATCCTTGGCGGCGGGGAGCACTATGATGATCGTTGTTCCACTTCCTCGGACCGAAGCACACACGCACACCCGATGTGTTTTTCGAAACAGTCCAGTTTTTTGGGGGCCGCCTTCGGGACGCACTTCCACTGAGTCGACGAGCACACCTTGATTGGGGGAGGGAGGGGCCTTACCGTCCTCATGTTGAATGACAAGGGGAAGACTTGGAGGTGTTGATGTCTTCAAGTTGGAAGCACAAGTGACATCTCAAACACATCCCCCCTGCCTTTTATATTCCCGCGCGTTGGGGCGTGGCGGAGGAGTGGGGGCGAGGCGTGGCGGGCGGGGCGGGGCGGGGCGGGGCGCGGCGGGTGCGAAACGCTCTTGTTTTTGCTGGCGATCCTGAATGGGCATTCGGTGGAGGGGCGCCGGGGCCATCCTCACGACCTTACCTGGACCCACCAATGGACCAGTTCCTGGCCACAAAAAAGGGGTGGGGGCGGCGGCACTCGTGCTGCAGGGCCACAGACTGCCGGCGGCGCAGCGTCCGTCCAGGTCCGACCGTCCGTCCGGGGGGCCCATTGCTGCCCCATTGGCTCGTTTAGTCGCGTCCCAGGAGCGCTCCTTCTGTGTGTTTTTGGCCCGCAGTGGAAAGAATCGCACTGTTAGCGTTACTATTCTGACCAAATTTCACCAGTTAGTTGTCAACTGTGTGTGTGTACCAGTGTGGAATTTGGTCGGAATTAACACTTTCGCGCCGAAGCCTGCAGTGGTAGGAAATTCGCAGGTGTAGATATTTCTCAAATCATACGATCCCCGACTTAGATGTCTTGGATTTTATCCATTAAGTTCGGGTGTTTGGATCTGCTAAAGTTTCCAGTGTCCATCGCACTGCAGTCTTACTATTCCCACCATAATTTCCACCCCGTTTTTAACAGAATCTTTCCACGTGTGCTCTGTGTGCGTGTGCGCGCGCGTTTGTGTGAGAGAATGTGAGTGTGTGCGTGCGTCCGCACGCACGGCTAGAAACGCAAACACACACTCACGCGGCCAGCCTAAAACTGGACGTTGGGCGTTTAAAAACGCAGAGAGTAAACTGCACGCACGCGCACTCCCACACGGGCCGGGCCCTTGCCCACGCAGCCGCCGCGGCGCCGCGGGCTGGGCCGACTCGGTACACATGGCTTTACTAAATGTAAAGCACTGGCATGCCTGGAGCAGGGCCCAGCGCTTTGCCGGCCCGGCGCTGCCTACACTAGAAGGGCAAGGCCGCTCTTGTTGAATCAAAATCGCGGCGTGGCCCGTCCTGGAGACTCCTGAAGACTCCAGGAGACTCGAAGAAGCTCCTTCGTCGCTCTTCTTCTCCTTACATTTTGGCGCGTTCATCAATCATAGGCATTGCACGTGATCAAGTCCGGCAGCGCTGTCCCGTCGCTCTGTCTCTCTCGCACCCCTCTGGGACCCCCTCGTGAGTGCGAGAGAGACAGAGCGACTGGTCCGGTCTGGTCCGTCCAAGGCCTCAACGCGCTTTACTCGCTTTGATGCGCCGCGTATTAGCCCGCTCCATTACATCGGTCACACCACCGTAAGCCCCGCAAGCTCATCCCGACTCGTTTTGTTTGGGGTTTCCATTTTCCTGTCTCTTGGCGAGAGAGAGAGAGAGAGAGAGAGAGAGAGAGAGAGAGAGAGAGAGAGAGAGAGAGAGAGAGAGAGAGAGAGAGAGAGAGAGAGAGAGAGAGAGACCGCTCCGTGGTGGCGCGGTGTCTGCGTCTTGCTCATAGCGCCTGTGAATCAGGGGATAGGCAGGCCCGCCACGCGCCAGAGCGTTGGGTGGTGGCCTACCCGCCAGGCGCTCTCCCGTGCGGATCCTACGCACGAGTCGGCTTTTCCGGGTTCAAATCCCCGTACACTTAGGTTTTTTGTTTGATTTGTTTCAAACTTCGGCAGTGCCGGGCAAAACTGATAATTATGGGTGGCAGATTGTCCGTGTGCCGTACCGGCCGGGCTAGCCTAGACCAGGCTAGGCTAGGCTAGGCCGCGCTCGGTTCATGACGCCTCCCCGAATCATTTCTGCCATTTTGTTGTCCTTTTCTCTCTCCCAGTGTTCCGCGCCAGACCCGTCGATTGAGGACTGCGTGCCGCGACGCTGTTCCTCTGGGCAAGGCCCCCGCCACGCCACGCCACGCCATGCCATGCCGCACCCAGCCGAGCGATGCAGAAGATCGCTTAGTCGCTCTGTCTCTCTCGCACCCTTGGAGAGTCCCATGAGTGCGAGAGAGACAGAGCGACGAAAACGACTCTTCTGAATCGCTCGGCGGCCGACAGGTTCACGTCGTGGGGCGTCCGTCTCGTCCATAGTGCCGTCTAGCCGAGGGGGATTCAACTCCACATTTTCACAGACGGAGGAAATGCGATGTACGTGTCAGTACGTCAGAATCGACGACTGGCGGCTCGGCTCTCCCAATGCCGCGTTCAAACCTTTTCGCGCGCCAAGCGGCCTCATGCATCATGCACTGTGGAAATTTGTTGCAAACTTCATCACGAAAGTAGTTGACGCGACCTTTACATCATCATTCAATGGCGACGATTTTATAAGAAATCTGTTACATTACCATCAAAGTCCCTATCCTCATTGCAAAATCGGCTCAACAACAATGTAATCAAATGGTTTGACGTTGACGACATTCTTGTAAGGAAATTTAGCCTTTAAATTGAAATAAAGTGACAGCCAAAATTTTCTCGGGCCAGCCGATTGCCTTATGGTTCTGACAGCAACAAATTTATTTTTCACTGTCAAACCGGTCAAGGCGTTTTAGCGTCTACGACGATTACTCTCTGTCGTCGGCGAAGAGAACCCCCCGCGCCCTTTTCTGTTTGTAAAAATATTTTATCGACCTGAACAAAACATCAACGGCGCAATACATAAAATAATTGGTACGTGGGCGCCGACTTGGCCGCTACCGACACCGAGCCTGACCCCAAAACCCAATCACCCCTCCCCCTCCTCTCCTGTCCTTCCCTTCCGCGTGCCGCCGCCAGAGCCATCCTCGCAGTGACATTGGCTGACGGATTTGCCCCCCCCCCCTTCTTCCCCACCGCCTGCCTCCACCGGCACCGACCCTCCCTCTTTCCCTCCCCCCCTTCCCCATCTTCCCCCTTCCCCCTCTTCCCCCTTTTCCCCCTCTTCCCTCTTTCCCTCTCCCTCTTCCCCCTTCCCCCTTCCCCCTTCCCCTTTCCCTCTTCCCCTCCCCTCCCCCTTCTCCCTTCACCTTCGCCCTCCCCCTCCCCTTCCCCGCACAGAAGCTGCTCGGTGGCGCGCCGCCGACTCTTGGCCGCTTTGATCTGCGAGTTGCCTGTCGTGCCGCCGCTGGTGTGGGTGCTGAAAGGCTGAGAGAGCGCGGCTCGGGGCTTGGGAGTGCGGAGCAGCGCGGAGCAGCAGACTGATTCCGAGAGTCGTTTTCGTCGCTCTGTCTCTCTCGCACTCGTGCGGCGTCCCGTACAGGTGCGAGAGAGACAGAGCGACGAAAACGACTCTCGGAATCAGTCTGCTGCGCGGAGCGAACGAGATCCTCCGCGCCGACGGAAACAATGATCGATACCATCGTTACCGTTTGCGGCGCGGCGGCGGCGTCTTTGCATACGTGCCGCACGCCCCCTCCTCCGTGATATGATAGCTGCTCTCTGGCGGGGCGGGGCCGGCCGGGACCTTTACCTTGCCATCCGTCATTGGGAATCGCGCAGCATCGAGAGAAAGACAAGGCCGCGATGCCTTGCAGTGCCGTGGCTTGCAGTGCGGCGCCCCGGTCGCGTTACTCCATGCGGGAAGATACGCGCCGGGAATGCGCGATATGATTGCACGCTCTGCCCTGCTCTGTCCGTCAGCCAATTGCCACGACGTACGACACACAGTGGGCCAGAAGACCGGCGCAAGCGGAAAAAAATTCAAGAAGCGTTTTAAGCTCAAGAGTAGCTTAGCAGGACTCGAACCGAGCTTGTGACCCCACCAATGGATTCCTCGTTCGGAGAGCAATCCATTGGTGGGGTCACACGTTCGGTTCGAGTCCCAATTAGCGACTCTGGAGGCCAAAACGCGTCCGGAATTTTGGCTACCTTCACCGGACTTCAGGCCCACTGTGCGACAGGACAGACTACTTTCGCTGTTTGTTCCTCTTTCTTTTCAAACATCTGAGTCTCATTCATTTTTACTGGTTTCTCGCTCCGTCTCACTCCCCTTTCGTTTTAATGATTTGACTCATTTATTTTTAAAATTCTTCAGGCTCATTTCTTAATTGTAAAGATATCAATCTCATCTATTGACGTTTTAAAAATCTCACCCGTATATGTTCTTTATAAAGATCCCACTCTTGATTGTTTTTAAAGATCTCGCTCTCATTTATCTTTCAGTACCTCACTCTCATTTATCTTTAAATACCTCACTCCCATTTATTTTTAAAAGATCTGACTTGTTGAATGGCCTCCCACACTCTCAGCAGGCCATCGTCATCGCCATTTATTTTCTTTTTTTTTCACGGAAGGAGCGGCTGACTCGGTTCGACTTCTCGGGCCTTCCCTTCCGTCAAAAGGAGTTCAAGTGCCCAATCAATCGAGAACCATTCGCGGCTAGGCGCGTGCGCACGCGCGCGTGTGGGGTGGTGTGTGTGTGTGTGTGTGTGTGTGTGTGTGTGTGTGTGTGTGTGAGACTTGTGGGAGTATGCAGGCCGCGGCTCGGGAATAATGAGGCATAATACACAGGGTAATGGGGTGGTATATTTCAGTCACGTGTGGAGGTATACCCTATCTAGAATGTATAACACAGTGTGCTTGGCTGGCCACTCGACTAGCGCGTTTTCAGTCAGTCTGTTGGAGCAGGGCAGACTCTCGAGCTTAGTACCGGTAGCCGGCGTCGCTCTGGGCGCCCTGTCGCTGTTGGTAGCTCTGCTGCTGCTGCTGGTAGCCCTGCTGGTTTGAGGGTTGGTAGCCCTGCTGCGACTGTTGCTGGTAGTTCTGTCGCTGGGACACGACGGGCACCTGGAAGCTCTGCTGAGCGGGCTGCTGGTAGCTGAGCTGTCGCTGAGGGGTGGGCAGTTGGTAGCCCTGCTGCTGGTTGTTTCTGTTGGTAGCCCTGTTCTGGTAGCCCTGCTGGTTGTTCTGTTGGTAGCCCTGCTGGTTGCGGGCGGCGGCCGCCTCCTCGCGCGCGTTTTGCTCGATGGAGCGCAGGATGGCCTCGGGGATGGGCGGCGGCGTGGGCAGGTGGTCGCCGTACGCGCGGAAGCCGTTCTCGTCGGCCGTGTAGGTGACGGTGTAGCGCTCGTTGGTGTCGGGCGCCGTGAAGGCGAAGCCGCCCTGCGCCACCACCGCGCCCTCCTCGCCCGACCGGCCGCTCTGACGGAACTCGCCCTGCTCCTGGGCCTGGATGCCGTTCTCGGTCTCGTAGCTGCAACACAGGGAGGAAAACGCACCCACTCTGTTAGCAGTGCTGCCGTAGGAACAGGCGACATTGACCAGGGAAGTTCGACTGCTGAATCAACACTAAGGCCCTGGGTGGGTGCTGCGAAGCGATGTGATTTTCTGCTCAGTGATCTGAATGTCAGTGTCGAAAGGGTTGCCAACATCAGCCTGCTTCGCTGCGTCGAGAAGTTGCCAGTTAGGCAGGCTGGAGGTTGGCAACATTTTTGACACTGGTGCATTGTGGGAACTTCAGCTCCGGTGGCCTTTATAGACAGCAGCTCTACGGACGCGCATTCGGGATTTTTCTAGTGAGGGGGTAAAGCAGTGCTTTTTGCCTGCACACAGGTGAAAAGTAGTGCTTGTTGCCCTACTTTAAAGCGGTCTATTTGGTATTGGGGAGCACCACCTTCCTCCCAAATTACCCCTCCCTTAAAGCCGCGCTCATTTTATGGAATCAAGTACTACCTGCTTATCTTTTCTCATTTTGAAAATTTATGAATTATTTTTAAGAAACAAATGGATAAAATAACGCTTTTAAAGAAATTAAAGTCGAAAATAAAACAACAAACGTAAGTTTTGCTTGCCGCCGGTACCTGTACCCCTCGGCCCACGCCGCGCGTGTGCACGACTCGGTGTGGCAAGCAAGCCGGCGAGGCAGCGCGCCCGGTCCGCCCACAGTGTAGGGCCCCGCCGGGCGCCGCGGCCCCGCCGAGGGCCCCATCGGTGGTACCGATGGCCAGATAACGCGGCGGCGCGGGGCCCGGCGGGGCCACGCAACCAGATAGCGCCCGGCACGAGGGTTTCCGCACAGAGTCAAGGCAACCGGGGCGACGCCGCGCGCCCTCGAGAGCCCGGCCAACCACAGTGGGCCAGAAGACCAGCGCCGGCGGCGGCGGCCAAAACTGCAGACGCGTTTTGAGCTCCAGAGTCGCTAAATGGGACTCGAACCGAACGTGTGACCCCACCGATGGATTCCTCGTTCGGAGAGAAATCCATTGGTGGGGTCACACGTTCGGTTCGAGTCCCATTCAGCGACTCTGGAGCTCAAAACGCGTCTGCAGTTTTGGCCGCCGGCGCCGGTCTTCTGACCCACAGTGCGCAGCTGGATCCGGAGGGAGACAAACCTCCTGAAAGGTAGGCAAGAAAGTCGCTCTTTGTCCCTGTAGGGAGGCAACTTTTCCGACATCGCCTCTCCTCCCTGAACCCGTTTCTGGATCCACCACGGGCCTCACCTGTAGGTGTAGCTGCCGTCGCCGTTGTTGACGTTGCTGGAGCGCACGATGGCGATGGAGGGCGTCTGCTGCTGCGACTGGGAGAAGAAGCCGCCCTGGCGGAGGCCGAGGCCGGCAGAGGCCTGCTGCTGTTGCTGCTGCGAGCCGAAGGCGGTGTTGGTCTTGGCGGCGAAGCTGGACGAGGCCTGCTGGCCGCTGTAGGAGGCCGGGGCCTGCTGGGAGGAGAAGGAGGACTGCTGGAAGCCGAAGGAAGGGGTCTGCGCGGCAGGGGCCTGCTGGGCGAAGGAGGACTGCTGGGAGCCGAAGGAGGAACCGAAGGAAGAACCAAAGGACGAGGTCTTGGGCGCGGCAGAGGCCTGCTGGGAGAAGGAGGACTGCTGAGAGCCGAAGGAGGAACCGAAGGCCGAGGCCTGGGGCGCCGCAGAGGCCGTCTGCTGGGAGCCGAAGGAGAAGCTAGAGGTCTTGGGCAGGGACGAGGCCTGCTGGGACCCGAAGCTGGGCGCGCTGAAGGAGGCCTGCTGGGAGCCGAAGGAGAAGGCGGAGGTCTGGGGCTGGCTGGCGGGGGTCTGCGACGCGGTCGTGTACGAGGACACCTGCGGCAGGGAGGGGGCCTGGAAGGCGGCCTGCTTGGCGGCCTGGCTGCCCTGCAGGGGCGCGGGGGCGCCGAAGCCGAGCGTGGACTGCAGACCCTCCTGCTTGAGGATGCCGCTGCCGCCGAGGGGCTTGGGCGGCTGCTGCAGCTTGGCCTCGATGACGATGTTGTTGGCGGGCGGCAGGTACGTGTTGGACGGCGGGATCACGGCCTCGGTGTGCGTGGCCACGCTCTGGACGGGCTGCGCCGGCAGCGGCAGGTTGTAGCCGCCGGCCTGGTCGGCGTTGGCGGGCGGCAGGTAGGTGTTCTCGAGGCGGCCGGCCGCGGCCAGCCCCGCCACCACCAGCACGATGAGCTGCGGGACAAACCAATCGATGAAATTTCGAACGACTGCCGATTCATCAAGGCGTATTGCCGGCGCGGCCTTGAGTGACGGCCGGCGGCCTTCCTGACCCGCCTGCCCATCCCGAGCAGGATGTTTGGGACGCGTTAAGGCGGACGCCTTCCAACGCCACCGCCGCGTTCGTCACGTGCTGGACGAGGCTGGTCGTGACCGAGTCGTGCGGCACGGCGCGGCAGGCGCGCCACGCCACGGCACGCCATGGTACGCCACGCCATGGTACGCCACGGTACGGCACGCCATGCCTCGCCATGCCACGGCGGGGCACGCCACGGCGGGGCACGGCGGTCTGAAGCAGGACCCGCTGCCGCTCGTATGGACCCGATATTGTGCACTCGGCCGAGAGGAGGGGTGAGGCGGGGCGGGGGTGGGGCCCGGCTATCCCGAGTGGAGTAGGGCCAATCCTGCACCACTAAAAGTTGTTTCGCAAAAGATATATCTCCGGGGCGTGTGCCCGGCCGCTCCGCTCCGCTCTTACTCATCGGACCGACCATCGGCCGGGATCGGCCCGGACAGATGGATTTCTACGAGGCCAAGGACTACGTGCTGCTGACCCGCTGCGGCAGCGGGACCGCCCGCTCTTTCTCCAGGCCATTTTCCAACTTTTGCTGGGGGCCCCTTTTTCCCTTTCTTTTGCAAAGTCTTATTTACACAGCACGCCCAGTCAAGGGCGAGCAAAGTTCAGACAGTGTCGCGTCGGGCCTTCGCGTCGGGGTGGCTGGGGTCCCTCGCCGCTGGGTCTCGGGGTGACGGCGTGCTTCGACCGCGGACAATGCACCCCCCTCCCCCTCCCCGCCCCTCAATCCCCAGGCCTCTGCCCCTTCTTTCCCCAAAGGACGTGAACTGGATAGAAAACCAGCCAGGCGGCGCGCGCAAGGGCGTGTATACTGTATTATCAGATTTTTTTCTTAACCAAACTTACTTTCCAAGAAAAAGTCTCTGCCAGTTGCAAGACGGACGGAGTCTGCTCGGAGACTGTTTCGGTTTGACTCCTCTGATTGAATCTCATGTCCACTGACGAAACAAAGGTATAAAAGGTACGCCCTTAAGGGCGCAACAGTCTTCCACGCCCTTTAACGGCGGCTCAAGGGAATGCCTTTGACAAGGGCATGACAATTTTGCCCAGAAGTCCTTCTATTAATTAACTCTCTGTACACACTTAAGCGCTCTATGTGTGTAGTCAGTACACTGTGCTCCATGTGTGTACTCAGTAAACACTCAAATTTTAGTGCACCCCTTCCAAGGCCGAAGGCTGATTTACAAGTTCCCGGGGCGTAAATCGTTTACGCTCCGTTTGAGCATACCGTGAAAGCGGGTAATATGGACCACCAGTGGGTATTGTGGACCACCCCTTAAACTCTTCTATGTGATCGGTGATGCCGCCTACCTGGTGCATGGAAAACCGCTTCGGCCACCAGCATCCGAACTTGTATGCAACTTGGCTCGAACCGGTCACTTAAAAGAAGTCAAGGCTGGTCCACATTATCCACTGATGGTCCATATTACCCGCATTTACGGTAATTTCGATTATGCTCTTCTTTGATGAGTGTCGCCCTCCTCTGCGTACGTACCAGCTTCATGTTGTAATCCACGGGGATGCGCTGGGCGTGCGTTGGCGACTCCGCCGGTGCGTCGTTGTGACTGGTGCCCCGGCCAAATTCGACAACGTATATATAGAGGCGGGGGTAAAGGAAGGTCCAAAACAAGACGACGACGCTGACCCAGACCGCCCAGACCCAGGGCACGCAGATCCTGCTTCCCCCGGACGGCCACCCTGCCGCTCCTCCCCACCTCCGTCAAGAAGAAGAAGATACTCCCGACACAACGGCGGTGAAGGACTTCTGGTCCTCGGCCGCCGCCGCCGTGCCACTCCCCCGGCTCCACTAATGCGGTCCTTCTCCTTCTCCTCCTCGTGGAGCGCGCCGCACAGTGTGCCGGCCGGTGCGCCTCGCCACGCCCCTGCAGAGATGCGCGGGGACATCCGAAACCCCCTCCTCTACCCCGCCACGCTCCTGCGGTCGAAAAGCGCAGCAGTCTGATTCCGAGAGTCGTCGCTCTGTCTCTGTCGCACTCATAGGACGTCCCGTATAGGTGCGAGAGAGACAGAGCGACGACAACGACTCTCGGAATCAGTCTGCAGAAGCCCCCTCCCCCCCTCCGCGACGCTTGTGAATTGAAAAATGTGGGCGCGAATCCCTACTTCTGTGGAGGGCGGTCGCGGCGACGCGTTGCCTCACCGGCAGGTAGGCAGTGACCGTCTTTGGGTGGACGGGCGCCTTGCGCGATGATTACCAACCAGTCACAGCCGTCGTGCCATCCCAAAGCAGAGAGAGAGAGAGAGAGAGAGAGAGAGACAGAGAGAGACAGAGAGAGAAAGACAGAGAGAGAGAGAGAGAGAGAGAGAGAGAGAGAGAGACAGAGACAGAGACAGGTCCGCAGTGTGTGTCCGGCAGGTCGCACTGCATGGGCTTCATCAGGCACGGCCAGGGTCGCGGCCACTGGCAAGGTGAGCCAAACGAATAAAGGAAGCGAGAATGAAAGGAGTAATGACGGCGGCGCGGCCCGATTCCGAGAGGCGTCTTCGTTGCTCCGTCTCTCTCGCACCCATACGGGACGCCCCGTGAGTGCGAGAGAGACAGAGCGACGATAGGCAGACGACCGTCTGCTGCAGTGCGAGCGAGGAGGAAGACTTAATGAATGGCGCGACAGCGCTTTATTTCCTCGCCGTCTTCGTCTCCGCCGTGACGCCGTGACGCGCAGAGAAAGGATTGGCCGCTCCCACGCGCCGCGCCGCGCATCACGTCTCTGTCTTCGCCTGCAGACTGATTCCGAGAGTCGTTTTCGTCGCGCTGGCCCTCTGCGTCCTTTAGGGGGAAGTCCCACGAGTGCGAGAGAGACAGAGCGACGCGATCGACTCTCGGAATCAGTCTGCTGCCTGGCGTGGCTCGCGGGCACCCGCTGTGGGCCTGCAGCAGCGCGGGTTCGATTCCCGGCCGGGTCTGTCGGGTCAGGGGCAGCTCTAGAATTGTTTTTTGGAGGTTGACATCTGCATTGTTGTACACGTCGGTCGGTGTCGCTGCCGATGTCGATTGTGCGGCCGGCGTAAAGCTCGCGATCTTATGCGCTTTCCGGCGTCATGGTGGCCGTGGTCGTGGTGGTCGTGATGGTGTCGTGGTGGCCGTGCCGACGGTAGCCGCACGCCGGGCCCGGCACACTGATTCCGAGAGTCGTTCTCGTCCTCGCTCTGCCTCTTTCGCACTCACGCGGCGTGCCGCATAGGTACGAGAGAGACAGACCGACGGAAACGACTCTCGGAATCAGTCTGCTGGCTGCAGTGGCACCGCGGATGACACAAAACGAGATTGGCCATCAGAGTGGACGCCTCGGCGCCGCCCTTGGAGAGGGTCATGCCGGACAACCTAACCTCCAGACGGCCAAGTGGGGGGCATAAATTTGAACATTGCGATCGGCCGCTCCGGACACGCGCATCCTCTAAAAGGCCCACATGGCGCTGCTGCTTGACCATCTCGTCGTTTTGGCGTTGCTTGTCGCGCAGCGCGCTTTACGGTTATGGGCCCTCGGCCGTGCCGCGCGACATGCCGCACCCACAGACCTCCATTCTTGAAGCGAGGATAAGTGACGTGCAATGTGCGAATTTACATGAATGTTTCAATGAGTGAATTTACACGAATATTTCAATGAGTGAATTTACTCGGATGTTTCAATGAGTGAATGTACTTGAATTTTTCAATAAGAGAATGTGATTGAATGCTTATTTACATGAATGTTTCGATAAGTGAATTCACTTAAAAGTAAATTTGTTTTGAAACATCTATACGTAAATCCACTTGTTGCTAGTGTATTATTTTGATGGAAGTAGCGACTTTTTCATGGGTTGTGGCAGTCATGGGGTGTGGCAGACAATGAAGCGTCTCTTCAACCCGAATATGAAAAAAAAAACACGCTTTATAGCTTTATCAAAGCCCGATTTTTAAATCAATGTAACTTTTGATGTGCTGTTTACTGTTCCCTGTGGCCTTTATTGTTAGGTATGTAAATGCCCTGTTAATAAAGAGCGGGGTGTCGACACCTCTCTCTCTCTCTCTCTCTCTCTCTCTCTCTCTCTCTCTCTCTCTCTCTCTCTCTCTCTCTCTCTCTCTCTCTCTCCCTCTCACTCACTCCCTGATGCATGTGGGAATGCACTCGCTCAGGTGGAACACGTGCATACGTTTACCGCCTTTTGTCTCTGGCTCGGATCGATGGAGCTGAAAATGCATTCGTGACGTCGGCCGCCCCGCGGATGAAGATAAGGCGACCTTTTTCCCTTTTTCAGCCCCTTCCAGCCCTTCCAGGCCTTCCAGCCCGGCGGCACGCTCTCCATGCAAAGCGGGCAAAGCGGTGACTTTATTTAGCGGCGCCAGCAGCGCCTCCGGCCGTGTCACTCTGTCTCTCTCGCACTCATGGGGCGTCCCCTATAGGTGCGAGAGCGGAATCCAGTCTGCTAGAGCCTCCGCTCACACTCGATGGCCCGCGCTGACGCGGGGGTCGGTCTTTCCCCTACTTCGGCCGAGTTGACACAGAATTGTCACTGAGTTGTTGCCGCTAATTTGCCACCGAGTTGTCGCCAAGTTGCCAGCGAGTTTCCAGTGCGTTGGCCGCCCGTCGAGGTGCGAAGTCGAGAGTTCCCTCGTGAACGGCACGCTTAGCACTCACTCGCGTGCCGAGTGCGATTTACGCGGCCGACGCGCGTGTGCGCGTCCGGGGGTAACCGAGGGGGTAACCAGGCAACAAACGCCGCCGTTTCCTACGGTAGCCTCTTTTTATTCATTACGAAATTACAAATTATTACAAAATGTACAAAAAGATTCAAACACACACAGACGTTCTCACAACACTCACACACTTAAGACTATGACTTTTGGGGGCAAAACTTTACAAAAATAAAGTGTCTCGCGCGCGGAATAAATATACAGTGCGGACGTAATGGTAACGTTTAGTAATCACAAAATGGCTCTCGTTGCCCGTCGTGGCTTAGTACTGGTAGCCGCCGTTGCTGGCGCCGCCGCCACCGCCGCCAGAGTACCCTCCGGCTCCGCCGCCGCCGCCCCCGGTGGGGCCCCTTCCGCCGCCGCCTCCGCCTCCAGTGGGACCTCTGCCGCCGCCGCCGCCGCCGCCGGAGTAACCACCAGGGCCGCCGCCGCCGCCGCCTCCAGAAGGACCACCTCCATAGCCGCCGCCACCGCCGCCCCCGGATGGACCTTGACCGCCGCCGTATCCACCACTGCCGCCGCCGCCAGAGGGACCGCCGCCGTAACCTCCGCCGCCGCCGCCGCCACCGCGAGCCTCCTCAGCGGCGTTGGCGGCCAGGGACTTCTGGATGGCCTCCGGGATGGGGGGCGGCGTGGGCAGGTGGGCGCCCTGCGGCACGAAGCCGTTCTCGTCGGCGGTGTACGAGAGCTCGATGCGCTGGCCGTCGGGGGCGGTGTACGAGAAGGAGCCCACGGCGCTCTGGATGCCCTCGCCGCCCTCGCCGCCCGGCTTCAGCTCGCCCTTCTCCTCGGCCTGGATGCCGTTCTCCGTCTCGTAGCTGCAACGACGCGGAGGGGATGAGTGAGTGAGGGTTCAAACAGTGGTCACGGCCCGCGGGTTCGCAACGGCCGGCGAGACGAGGTAAATGAGAGGAAGGCCGTCAAGGCCGTTGGACACTCACCTCCAGGAGTACGAGCCGTCGCCGTTGTTGACGTTGGTCTGCTTGATGATGGCGATGACGGGTCCACCGCCGCCGCCGCCGCCACCAGCGCCGCCGCCACCGCCACCACCGCGGCCTCCGCCGCCGCCGCCGAATCCAGCACCGCCGGAGGGTCCACCGCCGAATCCGCCGCCGCCTCCGCCTCCGGTAGGACCGCCGCCGTAGCCGCCGCCTCCACCGCCACCGGAGGGACCGCCGCCGCCGCCGAACCCACCGCCACCGCCGCTGCTGGGGCCGCCGCCGAATCCACCGCCACCGCCGGTCGGACCGCCTCCTCCAGGAGCGCCGTACGACGGGCTGGGTCGAGCGCCGCCTCCACCGCCGCCGCCGCCCTGGGTCCTCTAGGGCCGCCGCCACCGCCGCCGCCCCCGAACGGCGTCTGGAGCCCGGCGCCGCCCCCGGCCCCCGATCCGCCCCTCGGCGGCAGGTACTGGTTGTCCAGGCGAGCGGCGGCGGCGCACCCGGCCGCCACCACCACCGCCAACATCTGCAAGCACAGAGTCACGTCGCCGTCAGTGTGGCCAACGGCGCCAACGAAACAATTTACAGTGTCACGACGCCGGCCGGCACGGCGGCGCCGCGGTCGGCCCGAGTCTACGTGCGAGTGTTGGCGAACCTGGCGAGCCATCCACGGGCATCACCTGGAAATGAGCCTCGGGCAGGGCACTGTTTTCGTCGCTCTGTCTCTCTCGCACCTACACGGGCCGCCCACGAATGCGAGAGAGACAGAGCGACGAACACGTCTCTCGGCATCAGTCTGCTGCAAGGCGGCGGCGCGCGCGCCGAGGCGGTTCTCAGAGCCACGACTCTATTTCGGCCCCGACGTGTGGGAAAATGAAATCGGCGCGTTCCGTACCGCGGCGCGCGCACTGTAAGCGCGCCGCGCGGCAACGCGCCGACCAGGCCGGCCGGCCGAACGCCGCGAACAGCGAACGCCGCGAACGCAGGGACAAAAGAGGACAGAATTAGCGAGCCATGCCGCGGAATGGTAATTGTATCGCTTTAAGTTCCCGCCGTTAGTGCGCCGGCCCACGCAATGCGAACGGCGCGGTCGTGAGCCGCCGGGCCGAACTCTCTGTCTCTCTCGCACTCATGGGGCGTCCCGTACCGGTGCGAGAGAGACAGCACGCTGCAGTGCAACAACGGTGCGGCGCTGCGGGGCCATCCCAGCGAGCACACGATATTTCCATCGCGTTATTTTTCAGCGTGGCGGCACTGGCGCCGCGGCCGCGCGGCACGGCGGCCGCTCTGAGGGCGAAAGGTGTATTATGAGAAGGCTGCACAACAGCGACCACCTCGGCTGCACCATCTCGGCGTGCTTCTTGACCTGCATTCCCTCTGCTGCATGCCCGCTCCCCTCCCCTCCCCGTCCCTTCTCCAACGAGGCAGACGCGTCCAGTGGTCCGCGCTAATCGGCCTCCCCTTTCCCGTCGCCGTCGTCCTGCTGACTGATTCCGAGAGTCGTTGTCGTCGCTCTGTCTCCCTCTCCGGGACGCCCCGTGAGTGCGACGGAGACAGACAGAGCGACGCCGGTGACTCATTCGGAACCAGTGTGCTGGAAGCGGCATTGTCAATCATGTGCCGTGGCCACGGCTTGACCTCTGCGGCGAGGTTTAATGCGACGCGCAGCCGACACCAGAATTATTCACTTGTTTGGGTGCGGCGGGATCGCAGCGCAGGGCGCGCACAGTGTGCCAGAAGGCCGGCGGAGGCGGCCAAAACCCTTCCCGCGTTTTGAGTTCCAGAGTCGCTAAGTGGTACTGGAGTCGAACGTGTGACCCCACCAATGGATTGCTCTCCGAACGAGGAATCTGTTGGTGGGGTCGCACACGTGCGGTTCGAGTCCTGTTTTAGCGACCCTGGAGCTCGAAACGCGCCTAGAGTTTTGGCCGCCCCCGCCAGTCCTCTGGCTCTGGCCCACTGTGGGGTGGTTTTGCACCTCCCAGTGTAGTTTCGGCGGAGCCTTTGTCGGACGGAAACCACCGCGAAACAGATCGGCCGGCCGATAGGAACCGCGCTGCTGCTTATCTCGGCGACGCGAGCGCGCTCCGTGCGGAAGCTTCGGAAGCTTTTGTTATGAATGAGGCGGGACCTGACCCGGGGGCGCGGCACGGCGGCACCGCGCGGTGGGGCGCTGCAGACCGATTCCGAGGGTCCTTTTCGTCGCTCTGTCTCTCTCGCACCCAAACCAACGCCCCGTGAGTGGGAGGGAGACGGCGACGAAAACAACTCTCTGTCTACTCGCTCGCTGCTCCTCGCGGTTAATAAAGGCATGGCCCGCGGCCCGATTCCGAGCCGGGGCCTCTGTCTCTCTCGCACTCGCAGGGCGTGCCACACTCGCGGGAGAGACAGAGCGACTTGAGAGGCAGCCTGCTGGGGGGAGTCGGGCGAAGCAGCGGCAGGAATTTTCAACTTGCGCTTGAAAGCCAGAAAGGTGAGGTAGACAGACTTTGGAGCAGGATGCTTCCGAGAGAGGGAGAGAGGGAGAGAGAGAGAGAGAGAGAGTGAGAGAGAGAGAGAAGGGAGAGAGAGAGAGGAGAGAGAGAGAGGAGAGAGGAGAGAGAGAGAGAGGAGAGAGAGAGGAGAGAGAGAGGAGAGAGAGAGAGGAGAGAGAGAGAGAGAGAGAGAGAGAGAGAGAGAGAGAGAGAGAGAGAGAGAGAGAGAGAGAGAGAGAGAGAGAGCAGGAAAAGCGGGCAGTAAACTTTGGCTTGGTGGTACGGACTCCAAGTTGAAGCAAACAGGCGTGCCGCTTCGCCTCGCTTGCCTGCCTTGCCTTGCCGCTATTTATTAGAGATTTGCAGTGTTGTGAGCCGGTCGGGCCGCCCCGCGGGTCCGCGGTACGTGTGCTACCGCCTCCGCGGCCCAGCCGGCTGCGCGTTGCAACAGTGGCGTGCCCTCGTCGGCTTGGCGGGCAGCCTCCACTATTTAGCGTTTTACGGCCCGAAATGACCGACGCTCCGGTGGCATCGCGGGGACGCGCGTGCCGCATGCCGCTCTGCACTCCGAATCCGAGAGTCGCTTTCGTCGCTGTGTCTCTCTCGCACTCATGGGGCGTGCCGCACAGGTGCGAGAGAGACACAGCGACGACTGCGGCTTTTACGACGCGGAGCTGAAGACGGAACGCAGGCGGTCAATGGCGGTCGTTTTCGGTCGTGCCTCGTAAAGACAAAAACGCGGCCGTTCGATGGGATTATTGCACCGGCCGGCCGATGGGTAGATGGGTCGGCCCTGACCGCGGCCGCGAACCCAGCGCGGAGGAAGGATGAACCAGATCACGCCGGGTTTGCTCTTGAGGCGCATCGGCGACGCCATCGGCGCGAGCGCGGGAAAAGAGGGATGGAAGATGGCGGCGCGAGCGCGGCTGGGCCAGAAGACCGGTGGAGGCGGACGAAACTCTGGACGCGTTTTGAGCTCCAGAGTCGCTAAATAGGGGTCGAACTGAACGGGTGACCCCACCTATGGATTGCTCTCCGAACGAGGAATCCAGTGGCCCACACGTTCGGTTCGAGCCCTGTTTAGCGACTCTGGAGCTCAAAACGCGTGCAGAGTTTTGTCCGCCTCCACCGGTCTTCTGGCCCACTGTGCACTGGAGATGGGAGATGGCGGGGCAGCACCTTGCTTCGCCTTGTTGCGCGCGGGTCAGGCAGACCGTCAGGCAGACCGTCAGGCTGCAGTGCATTATGGCCGGGGGGCGTATCAGATGCCAGCCCGGCCAGGCAGGCTTGGGACGCTACGCGCTTCTAGTACGTGCCCCGGCGGCATGCGCTATTATTTCCACTGCAAACTTTAGCAACCCCAACGGGGATTCATGCATATGGGACCGGTCAATCGATGCATTAATCAATACACTAATCGATACAAGCATACCACCGCAAATGCCGTGGCAAGCTTGCTTGCCACAAAACCGACAAGCCGTTTTGAATACCAAAAAAATTGGCAACCTTTACCCGAAATCCTCATTAGCTTGCCAATATTTGGCTAGCCGAGGAGTATATCAGGGCCAGGCTTGCCAATTTTTGGCATTCAAAACGGCATGCCACTTTTATGGTAAGCAAACTTGCCACTATATTTGCAGTTTCGACACATTAATCGATACATAATATTTTTTGGAAGCGGGCCCCCCACGGTATTAAAGGACTTTGCTTCGATGGGCTACATTCGATAAGCTGCAATCGAAAATCCGGAATCTGGAACCGAAATCTGGTAGCTACGCGGCCGGACACATGCACGGCGAGTTTGTCGAGGTTTGTCGTAACAATCAGCTTTTTGGGTAGTATCGGATTTCCGAATTTAGCTTTTGACTTCAGTCTTTTTTCCGTGTGCCGCTGCAGATCAACAAGTAGTCCACGTCAGTTCGGTCCTATGAGGGGGAAGTTCACGGGCTTGATGTATAGAGGGCCAGCAGACTGATTCCGAAAGTCGTTTTCGGCGCTCTGTGTGTCTCTCTCGCACCTAAAGGGGACGCCCCATATGAGTGCGAGAGCGACAGAGCGACGAAAACGCCTCTCGGAACCAGTCTGCAGTGGCAGGTGCCGGCCGAGGCGCCTCGTTCCGATCATGTCGCTAGATAGCCGGGATAGCACCGCGGGGATGCTGGCAGCTTGGAAGCAGAGCCGGGCGGCAAGTGCCCTGCGAGCAGAAGACTGCAAGCAGAAGACTGCGAGCAGAAGACTGCAAGCAGAAGACTGCAAGCAGAAGACTGCGAGCAGAAGACTGCGAGCAAAAGACTGCGAGCAGAAGACTGCAAGCAGAAGACTGCAAGCAGAAGACTGCGAGCAGGAGACTGCAAGCAGAAGACTGCAAGCAGAAGACTGCGAGCAGGAGACTGCAAGCAGAAGACTGCAAGCAGAAGACTGCAAGCAGAAGACTGCAAGCAGAAGACTGCAAGCAGAAGACTGCGAGCAGGAGACTGCAAGCAGAAGACTGCAAGCAGAAGACTGCAAGCAGAAGACTGCAAGCAGACTGCAAGCGAACTGCAACCGGCAGGCCAGCTCGGCTCACCGCACAACATACTACTCCCTTTACGGGCGGCTTGCATGCAAGTCGGAGTCACTAGTGTTGGCGCGCGGTGCAAAGGTCACTCACCGCAGGGCTGTGACAAGGCGCCCTCGCCCCGGCAGCCCCGCCACAGAGACTGGGTCCTTGCTGGGTCCTTTCGCCCTGAGTTTGAGCAGGCGCGGATCCAGTTGGGGGGCACAGGGACAATTCACCTTCCCCTTGGCCCGTACAGGTATCCGACGAAGAGGTAGGCAAAACGACATTATTTCCCCATGTGCTGGCACCACTGAGTTTTAGGGGGGGCTGCAGCTTTGGTTTAAAAGCTTCATGTTGATTTCCCAAATGAAATCTCACCAATTCAATTCGACGTCATGCGACACCGTTTATCGTTTGGGCGTACTATCGGATTATCGGCTATCGTTTGGGCCTGTCAGCAAGGGCAGCAGCAGCGGGCTCTGATCCAAGTGGCGCGTAATAGGGGAAGTTAGCCATTCCACAGTAGGTCAGCGAAGACCGGTGGAAGCAGCCAGAACTCTAGACGCGTTTCGGACTCCACAGTCGCTTGCTCTCCGAACGAGGAATCCATCGGTGGGGTCACAAGTTCGGTTCGAGGCCCATTTACCGACTCTGGAGCTAAAGCCGCGTTTGGAATTTTGTTGGCCGCCTCCACCGGTCTGCAGGCCCACTAGATGAGACCGCCTGGAGGTTAGGCAACACGTACTACTTTGCCATTGTAAGTAGGCAAAAAGCACTCGGTCTCCCCTTCCTTCCGCGCCTGTGCTTGGTGCTCCCACGCGATGGGACGTCTCCAACGCACGGAGACAACACGACGACGGGGTCGAATACGGTCGAATATCCGGATCGAGGCGCGCACCCCGTTCACCAGACGCGGGTTCAGTAGGGGAGAGAGGGAATGACCAATAATTGACACCCCTTAACCTTCAGGTAGCCGCCTGAAAGGTAGGCAAAAATGCCGCACTGCGCCTGTATACTTGCCCCTGCAAGTATAGGCAAAGAAACGGCGGACTTTGCTCCTTCCTCAGCCTGGCTCTGGATACGTCACTGCCGTCCACGCGACCCAGGTCAACTTCCTGGGGCGAGACGCACTGGCTTCCTCTCCCAGTGGTGTGACAGACCTACCAGTCGCATGGCGCTGGCTGCGACGCTGTGCTGTTATCCTTTGGCGCGGGGCGGGCACTGGTGCTGCAAGTACTGAGAGGCGTGCTCCACCACTAGCCCATTTATACGCGCCTAGCCTAGCGCAGCGCGGCGCAGCGCGCAGCCCGCCGGAGCCTAGCGTTAAGGTGCAGCGGTGCCGTACCGTGCCACCCCCGCGGCCCGCGGCGTCCCCCTCCCCCTCCTTCCCGCGAGCCCTGCAGTGCCCCCTTCCACCGCGGCCCGGGGCGCCGGGGGCCCCGGGGGTGGGCTCGTGCCGCGGTGGCGAGGGGGGAGATGGTGTCCAGGAGGCCGGGGTCCCCGGGACGACGGGCCCTGCAGGACTTGAGGACAGCCTCTGGGTCGCGTGCCGCGTGCGGCGCCTAGGGCAAGGAGGCACGCCTAGGGCGGTCGCTGGATTCCACCTCTCCGCCGCGTGTGTTCCACAGGACCAAAATAAGGACCCATGGGAGCCAGGGGACCGACAGAACCCACCGCACAGTGAGCCAAAAGGCCGGCGAAGACGGTCAAAATTCTGAACGCATTTTGAGCTCCAGAGTCGCTAAATGGGACTGGAACCGAACGTGTGACCCCATCAATGGATAGCTCTCCGAACGAGGAGTCCATTGTCCATCACACGCTCGGTTCGAGCCGAGCCCTGCTTAAAACGCGTTTCGGCCTCCTCCACCGGTCCTCTGGCCCACTGTACACTGGACCCTCACGGGCCCCAAAGAGGAGCGATATGACATTGCCGCCCGATAACGAAACACGCGACCGTCCTAACGAGTCTGATGCTCCTTTTTCCGCAGGATTAAGACGCGTCCCCTTGAGGCGTCGTCGTCGGGATGTCGCAAGGGGGACATCAAATATCATGCCTGCTGGCGGCGGTGCCCGGCGGTGCCCGGCGGTGCCGGTGGTAATGCAGTCCATTTCCGAGGTAAGGGCAGGCCAAGGCTCGGCGAGGCTCGGCGAGGCGACGCGAAAAGGCTCGGCAAAAGGGCGACAGGGATTTATCGAGCCTTGTGCGGAGTGCTGGCGGTGCCGGCCGGCGCTGGGCCTGCCCATGGCCTGCCCGTGGCTCGCCGGACTCGGCTCGGCTCCGCGATGACCCCCGCGCACGGCCCGGCTGCGCTCGCCGGCCCGGCCCACAGTGGGCCAGAAGACCGGTGGAGGCGGCCAAAACTCTAGACGCGTTTTGAGCTCCAGAGTCGCTGAACAGGACTCGAACCGAACGTGTGATCCCACCAATGGATTCCTCGTTAGAAGAGCAATCCATTGGTGGGGTCACACGTTCGATTCGAGTACCATTTAGCGACTCTGGAGCTCAAAACGCGTCTAGAGTTTCGTCCGCCTCCACCGGTCTTCTGGCCCACTGTGCGGCCACTCAGCTCGGCGGGGCGGCCAAGGACGCGCGAGGAAGGCACCGCCGCGAGTGCGTTAGCGTTAGGACCCGGTGGACGAACAATGGCAGCGTGGCGACGCGGGTCCTGCCGAGGCCACGCCGGTTTTCGGAAAGGGCCGCCGAGTTATGGTGCATAATGCGCTGAAGGGCTGCCTGCCGCAGTGGGCCAGAAGACCGGTGGGGGCAGCCGAAATCCCGCACGCGTTTTGAGCTGCAGAGTCGCTAAATGGGACTCGAACCGAACGTGTGACCCCGCCAATGAACTACTGCTCTCCGAACGAGGAATCCATTGGTGGGGTCATACGTTCAGTTCGCGTCCTGGTCAGCGACTCTGGAGCTCCAAACGCGTACATAGTTTTGGCCGCCTGCTCCGCGGTCTTCTGGCCCACTGTGCCTGCCCTTCGTTGTCTCCACCGGCAGCAGCCGCCTGACTCTGAAGGGCCGCTGCGTCGCTCTGTCTCTGTCGCACTCGTGGGACGTTTCCTCACGGGTGCGAGAGAGACAGAGCGACGGAACGATCCTTCGCGGAATCGGGCGGCAGGGCCGATCTCGTTATGCAGGGCTTCAGGGCGGCCGACCCCCCGGAGTGCATCAGCCGGCAGCCACCTCCGGCAGGTCATTCTTCTAGCGGGCCGCGAGCGGCGCGAGCGCGGCGCGGACAGTTTGCGAAACTATCGGGCAGCGTTTAGCCGGGAAGCGGATCGCGCGTTCGCGTTTCGTGGGCGATAAATTCGTCGCGCGTCCGGGAGGCTGGCTGCCCTGCCTGCGCCGCCCCAAGGGAGTCCCTAGGGGATCTCTTCCTGATCTGGGCCGCCATCGGCGCGGCGGGCTCGTCCAGCAGACTGATCCCGAGAGTCCTTTTTCGTCGCTCTGTCTCTCTCGCACCTATGCGGGACGCCCCAAGAGTGCGAGAGAGACAGAGCGACGAAAGCGACCCTCGGGATCCGTCGACAGGCCGTCGCTGCCGCCGTGCAGGGGCGTAACTACGTCCTCTTACGCAGCGGCTCTGCTACGCCCATGCTCCCTAGGGCCTCTTACACACACACACACACACACACACACACACACACACACACACACTGTGGAGGACGGCTCATTTGGCGTCTCTTGATCCTGCTTAGCGTCGCCGTTAAGCCTCGCTCGCTTAGTTCGGCCCGGGCAAAAGGGGCAAAAGCGTTCGGCCGTCGGCGGGGATCGATCCCGCGACCGTCTGGAAAAGGCGCGCGTCGTGCGGACAGCGCGGCCTCGGCGTGCGCCGCGCGTTTCGCGGCCGTGAACTTTGCGCAGGGCTGCGCAGGGCTGCAGGGCCGCGACGCGCTAGACCGCGGTTCGAATCCCGGTGGCGGCGCCGTTTCGCTGTGACGCACGTCGACGACGCGGTGTGGCGACGCCGCGGCGGCACAACGGCGGGCGGCGCTGCACAGTGGGCCAGAAGACCGGTGGAGGCGGCTAAAGCTCCAGGCGCGTTTTGCGCTCCAGAGTCGCTAAATGGGACTCGAACCGAGCGTGTGACGCCACCAATGGACTACTCTCCGAACATGGAATCCATTGGTGGGGTCACACGTTCGGTTCGAGTCCTCTGGAGCTCGAGTTTTGGCCGCCTCCACCGGTCTTCTGGCCCACTGTGCGCCGCCACCGCTGGGCCTCCGGGCAGGCGAAGCAGGCCACCGGGCAGCCCGCCGCTCAATACGGCATCAATCTTGTCCGCCGCGGGGGCGGCATGGCGGCGCGGCGCGCTGTGTTGGCTGTTGGTTGATGGATGGGGACGCCGTCAAAGTCCGCGCGCCCTGCACGGCCCTCGCCCGGCCAATGAAGCACCGCCAAATATTTGCATATCGCAGATGAGATGACGTCGCAGACCGAAACTTGATTTCTTCTCGCTCTGTAATACAGAGGCGCGCCGACCAGCGGACTGATTCCGAGAGTCGTTTTCGTCGTGCTGTCTCTCTCGCACCTAGACGGGGTGTCCCTTGAGTGCGAGAGAGACAGAGCGACGAAAGCGACTCTCGGAATGAGTCTGCTGGTCGGCGCGGCGCGCAGCAGGTCGACCGGTGCGTAAAAAAAGCGCACGGCGCGCGGTGATGGTACGCGTGATGACCCCTTCGAATTCCCCGCATATCCATCCATATCCCGCGCGCGTGCTAGACAGCAAACCGCGGCGTGCAGTGCGCCGCGGCGCCGCGTCCACGGACAGCTGGCCGCGGATTGAGGGGGAGTCGGGTTCGCGGTGACGACACGACGGGCCGGCGGACTCATACCGAGAGGCTTCTTCGTCGCTCTGTCTCTCTCGCACCCATGCGGGACGTCCTATGAGTGCGAGAGAGACACAGCGACGACGACGACTCTCGGAATCAGTCTGCAGGCCCGGCCGGCCGGGCGGGCTGAGGCTAGCGAGATGCTCCTTGCGTTCCAACAATTGCGCGCGCTGCGGCGCGGGGCCTGCACTGCAAAACGGCGTATCTCGCGGCCGCGCGCGTCGGCGGCGTCGCCCCGCGGCGGCAGTTGTCGCGTTGTTGGCGGCGCCGCGCGCACGGCACTGCACTGCAAGGCGCGGGCCGGCGGAATGCAGGCGCCACCCGCTGGGCCGCTCTGTCTCTCTCGCACCCACGCGCGACGCCCCTCGAGTGCGAGAGAGACAAAGAGCAGCTCCAGACAAAAAAAAAAACTTGGCCGGGGCCCCCCTCAGATCTGGCTCCCTCCCGGTTTTTTGGTTCCTCTAGTGAATACGAATTGCCAAAACCCAAAAATTTGGGGCCGGACCCAACACCGATTGGCTTTTGGTAGAGGTAAAAAACCCCAAAAATGGTTTTTTGAGGGTTTGGGGTTTTTTGGGGATCCCGGAACCTGCTGGCCAAAAAATCTACCAAAGTGTCGTTCCGAAAGATAAAAGTGCGCTCTTTCGAATGCCGTGTCGCGCGGGCTCTACGAGGACGGGTTTGGGACGCTACGGGCTCTCAAAGTTCCCAATTTCACTATTTCTACTGAAGATTTGAGCGTATCAGGGCCGTTCGAAGCAGACCATCGGCGATTTCGCTCCTTTTTGGCTTAAATGGTGCCTACCCATAGGTAAACCCCCCCACAAAATTTCAGCTATCTCAGGCAATTATTAGAGGATCGGGGAAACAATTTAAGTTTGGGTCTTTTTTACCACTAAAGTGAGGTGGTTTTGGGTCCAGAAAAAATATTTTTTCAACTATCTCTTTTTATCAGCCCCTTGAAACGTCTTTTTTACATGGGCCTCAAAACTTTTTTTCCGAGGACAAACCTGTTTATTTTGGGTTTTTAAAACCACAGCTTCTAGAAAGACAGGTTTGTCCTCGGAAAAAATGTTTTGAGGCACCATGAAAAAAAGACGTTCAAGAGGTGCTGATCAAATAGAGATAGTTGAAAAAAAAAATTTTTTTTGGACCCAAAACCACCTCACTTCAGTGGTAAAAAGACCCAAAAATTAAATTGTTCACAGATCCTCTAATAATTGCCTGAGATAGCTGAAAAATTTTTTTGGGGGGGTTTACCTATGGGTAGGCACCATTTAAGCCAAAGAGGAGCGAAATCGCCGATGGTCTGCTTCGAACGGCCCTGATACGCTCAAATCTTCAGTAGAAATAGTGAAATTGAGCAACTTTGAGAGCCCGTAGCGTCTAAACCC